TAAATGTTTTTCAATGTTGGAGTTTTCGGTAAATCCTAACTTGCGTAGAAAATGAGGCCGATTGTTGTGACATTCTGGAATGGATTGTTAAAATATGACATGACCTCACAACAAATGTAGAAAACCTTATTACTGTTTGTTTTTAGATTTCTGAATCAGGATTGATTGAAATCCTTGAGAAAGTCAACCAACAAACGGGAAAGCAAACTATTGTCAAGGTAATTGTTGATATTTGTAACTGGTATGATTAGGATTGTATTGACTAACGATTTAAGCTCTAATATATTTAACTTTTAAAAACCTGTTTTTGTTATCTTATTTTCTACCAATTGAAATATAGTGGGGCTACAGATGCATTCATCTTTTGAAAATAAAAGTAAAATAGATGCTTTAGCTATTTTGATGGAATTGTGTAAAGTGTTTGTATTGGACAATTTGAAAATAAAAATCTAAAGATATAGACCGGGATCTAGAACATACTCTGATTTTACTATAGGAATTTGAAATGTGCCCAAACCCCACCATTGAGATACTGTAAATAGATGCATGCTTTAAGATGCATGCTGAGCCACACAATCCAAATATACCATTTATCAACATAAAAAGGCAACTTAAACCACGACTTGAAATGTAAAGTGCCCAATTTCCAAGGAATTTTTATCTCGCTGAAACTCCCCCAGTTAAAAAAAAGTTAGATTGTTTAGTTAATTAGGAGTGCAATTTTCTAAACTGTATCTCAAACATCTGAGACAATTGAACCAACACTGTTGGTTACAAGTCTACCATACAATAACATACCAGTTTTCTTCATAATATGTAAGTCTCCTGGGCTTAACAGAACTCAACTACTAATCGGTCAGGAAAATAAAATTTTATAGAAATGCTTGTTTTTACTGTTTTTTTGAACAAGTAGCAAAATGCTTTTCATAAATAGATCTTAAAACATCTGCAGTATTCAGACAATGAGTTTGTGGATCATTTTTCTCAAAGCCTGGAACAGTGTTGTGATCAACTACTAATCCGGCTGCTCCCATTAAGACCATTACTTAAATACTCTTTGTCAGGAAGTAGAGCTTTTAGATGAGCCCCTAATTTCCTCTCCCCAGTAGAGGTCAAATTATCTCAATACTTAGAGCTGTAACTTTTTTTTTAGATAGAGCTTGGATTAAATATTTGGAAGAGTGACTTGATGGTAAGATAAATGCTCTGTGTTGAGCTTGTATAATTATAGAAACCACACAGATTTTTGAAAAAGCTGACACTTTTCATGTACTTTCCTTATTTCAGTTTAACAGAAGAAAAGTAATGGATTCTGATGAAGAAGATGATTACTGACTTCTGAACGTACAAAAACTTAATTTAATAATATGGGGAATAACAGCTAGAAAAATATGCTGTCAGAGGATGGATGTATTTGATATTTTTCCCCTTGTTTACTGAGAGAGTTCCTCTCTGTATAGTTTGATATCTGTGGGTGGAAATAACAAATTCTTGACAACTTGGTGGTTCAAAATGCTGTTTAGAAAGTATAGCTGGGGGGTTGTGTGTGGAAATTTACACGAGACTGACTTTTTGAAAAGGCGGAACACCATCTTAACCAATTTCCCTGGTTACTCCACTCACTGCTGAGAACAGCCACTAAGGCCAAGTACAGTTGTGTGCAGGTAATCCTGATTAATGTCTAAATGGAGGAAATATCTGCAGTTTTATTTCAATCAAGTTTGAATTAAACTGCTACACTGCAGAATTAGAAAAAAAACAGCTGACATGTAAATTGGGGATTTTTTGCAACAAAAGCAAATGCAACTTGTTTTGCATATCTAAGTATTGTTTTTTTTTTAAACTTTACTCTTCAGGAGCTGCATTTATGGAAAATTGTTGGCAAACAGATTTTCATTCTATATGCTCTGTGGGCCACAATGTGCTCCCTAATGGGAGCGGACAAGTCAGCCCTTTTTGTTTTGTTATTATGTGGGTAATAACTTTGAAATTTAATTTAAAACATTACCTTTCAATCAGTTCCCAAATTTAGTCCAAACCTCATTGCCTGTACGTAATAAAGATGTACTTCATTTCAGTTATGTTGGTGTAGTCTGAAATTACTGATTGTTATAGATTGTTGGAATATTCACTGATGGAAGTAAAATACTTCTGGAAACCTGAAATTAAAACAAAATGCAATGAATACACAACAGGACTGGCTGTACCAGTAAAGACAGAAATAGCTATTTTGAGTCAGTGTAACTCAAAACACAAATGAAATATTTGTATGGCCATGTGGTATGTATCAATGAAAAATGAAATGATACACAAAGCTAAATTTTAAAAATTTACAGGGTTAAAAATAAATCCAGTAGTGAAATATATTTTCTTAAAGATCCAGTGCACCATGAGATGATCTCCAGTCTTGGGCAGCAAGATCATCAAAAGCCCAAAGATTTTTGGGGAACTAATGGTCTACCATTACCACCAGACTATTAATCCAGAAACTCGGCTAATGTTCTGGCAGATTCAAATCCTGCCATGACAAATGGTGGAATTTGGATTCAAAGAATCTGGAATTAAGAGTCTAACGATGACCATGAAGCCATGTTGTTTGTTGGGGAGAGGAAAAAAACCTCACCTGGTTCACTAATGTCCTATAGGGAAGGAAATCTGTCATCGTTACCTGGTCTGACCTACATGTGACTCCAAACCCACACCAATGTGGTTGACTCTCAACTGCCCTCTGGGCAATTAGAGATGGGTAATAAATGCTGGCCTAGCCACAGATTGAAAGTGAATTAAAGAAAAAATTGTCATGCACTATTTTATGATTGTCACAAATTTTACATGAATTGTAGAGAATAGTCATCAGATCCACTTGCTATATTCCTCAAAGAACTGCTACAGTTGGGAGGTGAAATGAAAATTAGTTTGGCCAATAAAGCAGATGGGTGTTGAACTTATTTTGCCTGTGCAAAAGCACATAGGAACATACAAGACTAGAAAAAAAATCTGTAGCCTTAATTGGTCAGAGATGATGAATTTTCAGAGAAGGGCAACACATTGAGATGCTAGGCAAGCAATCTAAATATTTAATACTGTAGGTAAACATTCTCATTAAGAGTTCAAATCAATAAGATTAGACCATTCAGCTGTTTGAGTCTATGCTCAGGTAGTTGAGGCCAGCTATGATGGTACAGCATCACAACCTTTTGACATCTGCATTAGGGTTAAACAGGATTGTGTTCTGGCACTGAATTTACATGTTCTTTGCTGTTATAAGCCTTCAGGAACTATCTCTGTGACTACCTCTTGTCACTACAGTAATTAAACTACAATTGATGGACTAATTGTCTTAAACTTGCTTCTTACTTTCTGCATTTTTTGCAGAGGGAAATATGGTTATGTACCTAAGCAGTCAGTTTTAGTATGAGGGCTCTTTTTGAGATATTAGGTACAATTTAAATGTTTACAGATGGTACAAAAGTCAGAAATGCAGTAAATGAGAATTGTAACAGACTTCAGGAGCATACAAGCCTGACGATAGAGACAGGCATGTGGGAGATGCCTATTTACTGTAGAGAACAGAAATTATGCAGTGATAAGAAGAATGAAGAGAGGCAATAGAAACTAAATAGCAGACTATGTAGTAAAAGTTCATGTAGACTTTAATTACTTCCTCAAAGATCCTCAGACACCACCTTCCAAACCCACGACCGCTTCCATCGAGAAGGACAAGGTAACAGATATATGCGAACACCATTACCTTTAAGTTCCCCTCCAAGCCACTCACCTTCTTGACTTGGAAATATGTCACTGTTCCTTCACTATCACTAGGTCAAAATCCTGGAATTCCCTCCCTAATGGCATTGTGGGTCAACCTACAGGAGGAATGCAGCGGTTCAAGAAGGAAACTCTCAACCACCTTCTCAAGGGCAACTAGGGATGGGCAAGAAATGCTGGCCAGCCAGCAACACCCAGGTCCCACAAGTGAATAGTAAAGAAAAGGGTTAGATAATTTTCTTAAAATGAAAGCCTGGTCAGTGAGGTCATTTGATGTTTGCAATCAATTAATCTTATGCATATTTAGGACTTGTGATATATAGCTTCATAAATTACTTGATGATATGATCAGAATACGTAACATCATGCAACAAATTAAGCAGTCATGACTGATTATTCAAATTAAACTTTTTTGGCAAACTTGACAAGTGGAAACAAAAATTAATCTAATAAGTATCGTTAAAAATAAACTATGTTTTTATCAAAATTCTAGCCGGTATCATCTGGGAAACAGTTTATAACTTCCTTTTACTCCATCAATATAGGGCGGCTCAGTGGTTAGCACTGCTACCTCAGCACCAGGCACCCAGGTTCACTTCCACCCTTGGGTGACTGTGTGGAGTTTGCACAGTCTCCCCACATCTGCATGAATTTCCTCCAGGTGCTCCGGTTTCCTCCTACAGTCCAAAGATGTGCAGGTTAGGTGGATTGGCCAGACCAAATCACCCAGTTTTACAAATGGACTCATTTTCAAAATTAGTATTTTAAATGCATTTAAGCTGTACATGGCTAAAATAGTGCCATCAAATATTGCATTCAAGTGACCAAAATGATGATAAAAGAGTTCCTTTGAATAGGTTACACTTGCAGCATTCATTGTATACTGTTAAATGCTGGCTGGCATGAGGGGTAAATAAAATAATCCAATCTTTTCCACAAAAATGTTTATTTTTGAACAATTTGTTTATATGAATAGTAACATTCCTCAAGCACATTTATAAAATTAAATAAGGCACAGACTGTTATAGGAAGTCCTAGAAAAATACAGACACTAACAGAAACAAACTTTATTTGTGCTCAATAGGAAGTTTGGCAGGAGTTTAAAAAAATACATTTTTGATGTTTTAATGTTAAAATCACATTGCCAATAATCGAGAGTGAATTGTTTTTATATATACACAAAAATACAGATGCATAGCTAATGGAATACTACATAGTAGCTCATGAACAAAGCTCCATATCCCTACATATGTGCAAAGTAAAATATTGCTACTGCAATACATTTATCCATAGAGTTAAGTGCTTTCTCCTTTGTGACTGCATGGTGGAAGTGATCTTCTTACACGGTGACAATTTTTATCCAAGATTTCAGTTTTAGTAGATCAGTTCTCCAGCTGAAGGAGGTGGTGATCACTGCAGTCCTTTTATGTGTACATACAATATGTGAGGTACCTACTTGGAGGCATTTAGATTAGCAGCTCCTTTATGCACAGTTTTGGTTCAAAATTCATCAATATCTTTGTGGTTGCCTACTTTTGCAGTATTAACTGTCTCCAAATCTGGTGAATCTTGTGAATGATTACAAAGTTGTCCACACATTCCCACAAATTCGGTGTTTCCATTTACATCATTCAATTTACTGGGTAAACAGTTAATAAAATCTGTGTCCCTCTTGCCTTGATAATTAGTCTCTGTATGATTTGCTGCAATTAGCTCTTCTTTCTCAGCTTTAAGATCAACAGCATAATTAAAAAATGATGGTGCACTGTGATCCTTTGTTTCAGTTTGTTTCAATTTTCTTTTGTCAAAGGACTTGATTGCCAGCTGTCAGATCGTTATAGAAACAATGCAAACGTATACAAATTAGACTATTGACAAACAGTTTTTTTTTAAAATTATGCATTAACAAATATTCTTAAGCTATTCAATGTATTTGAAAAAGTGTCACATCCAAGTTAACAAGGCTCTGTCTAGATCACGTTGGGAGCAGAGGCCTGGCCAATTGCATGACAGGGTGTGCGTGTGGGCGGGGGGTGCAGTTGCCATGGAAAATTATGTAAAAAATTAAGGGGGCAGGTAAGACTCAGTGTAGGTTATTAAAATTACCAGAACAAGTAAAAGGATAGAGAATATGGAAAAGGTCAGGAATTTAACTTGAGGCATTGCAGATGAAGTGACAACTATGAGAAGGGGGCAGTCAACACAAGACTGAGGGTGTTGTATTTGAAACAAGGTAAATAAGCATGTAGCACAGATTGAAATTGGCAGGAACAACGTTGTGGACATCATAGACTTGGCTGCAAGGGCCCTGGGTTGTCTTGTTAGTAAGAAATGAAATTAAATTGTTAGCAAAAAGCAATATAGAGTCTGAAGGCATAGAATCCATGTGAGTACAGTTGAAGAACCCCACAAAGGAAAAAAAGACCCTGATGGGAGTACGTGGGCAGAAAATAAAATAAGGAGAAAGGCACTATTATAAAAACCATGGGGGACTTCTATATGTAGATGGACTGGGAAAATCAGGTTGAAAATGGATCTTAAAAAAAGGAATTCAAGGAATACCTAAGATTTTTTTTTGGAGCAGCTTATGGTAGAGCCAACTAGGAAACAGGCAATTCTGAATTTGGTGATGTGTAATGAGGTAGATTTGACCAGGGAGCTTAAAGGTGAAAGAACCTCTAGTGACCATAACATGATGTAATTCACCCTGCAGTTTGAGGAAAAGCTGGAAATCAGATGTAACGCTATTACAATTGAGTAAAGGTAACTACAAAGACATGAATGAGGAGGAGATGGCCAGAGTTGATTGCAAGGGGAGCTTGACAGGGAAGACAATGATGGAGCAGCAACAGCAGGAGTTTTTGGGGGTAATTCGGGAGGCACAGCAGAAATTCATCCCAAGGAAGACAAAACCTACTAAAGGGAGGATGAGGCAACCATAGATGATAATTCAGGAACCACTGACATGGTTTTGTTGCCAGATAACTCCAAGAAATGTGTCACGAACACAAGAAACTCTTCTCTGCATTCAAGTGATCAAAGCATCAGATTTAGTAAATCTGAAGGCTCTGTGCAAGGTGCTCCAAAAGTCTCAGATGTCTGAGAAACCTCACCACAATTCTGCAACTGTTTCATGATGATACAAGATTACAACTGCCTTGAGTGGGAGATCTGAAACAGTGAAAATCCAAAATGATCCTGAGCAATGGTATGTGAATGCCCCATACTATAATCTATTTAGCAGTATCTAGAGATAGAGAATTGAAAAGCAAAGAAGTATTGTAAAATCTTTTTCAAACATTGGTTAGAGGCAGATTTGAATGCTGTTTTAAGAGTTCTAATCGCTATAATTAAAATAAAGGTTATCAAGGCATTGGGAGAAGGTGAAATAAAAATTAATGGAATGATACCAGAACTGAGATGTTGTTGGATGTCAGGAATGATTGAACAGGTTGAATCTCTTTATTTCTGGACAAAAGACTGAGGTGTGATTGGTTTAGGTCTTTAAGATCATGGGATAATTTGATAAAGGTAGATACAGAATGAGCTTCCATTACCAAGCAAAACCAGAACTAGGAAATACAAACATACAAAAGCTACAAATGAATTTAACAAGAATCCAGAAGAAACCTCTTAACCCAAATGGCGGCATCATGTGGAACTTTTATCATATGAATCATAAACAATAGGCTGTGAACACTGTTTATAAATTAATTAGTAGCATTATTTGCATCAGAAGGCTTCCTTATTTTCTTATAATTATCTGATAAAGTTAATCCAGTTAGATTTCATACCTGATGGATTAAGAGTTCATCAAATTCAGGGCTGCTTTTGTCTCTTGTAACAGTCTTCTTTAAATTCTCAGACCTACAGACAAAGATTTAACTGAAACACACTCAATGCCGTAGAGTCGCGGAGCTGTACAGCACGGAAACAAACCCCTCGGGGTCCAACTCGTCCGTGCCTACCAGATATCCTAAATTAATCTAGTCCCATTTGTCAGCATTTGGCCCATAACAATCTAAAACCTTTCCTAGTCATATACAAATCCAGATGCCTTTTAAATGTTGTAATTGTACCAGCCTCCACCACTTCCTCTGGCAGCTCATTCCATAAACTCACCATCCTCTGCATGAAACAGTTACCCCCTAGATCCCTTCCCCTCTCACCTTAAACCTTTGCCCTCTAGTTTTGGACTCCGCTACCCTGGGGAAAACACCTTGGCTATTCACCATAGCTATACCCTTCATGATTTTATAAGCTTCTTTAAGTTCACCCCTCAGCCTCCAATGCTCCAAGGAAAATAGCCTCAGTCTATTCAGCCTCTCCTGACCGCTCAATCCTGGCAACATCTTTGTAAATCTTTTCTGAACCCTTTCAAGTTTCATTGAAGAAAGAGTCACATTCACAGCAAGGCGCAGGTTTTTTTATTCTTTCCATATTAGAGTTTTACTTACCTGTTAAATTTATGAATAGATTGCACAAGCTGGATCCTTTTATCAGTGAGTTCATCAATTGCATCTGGCTTCGTAACAAATGCATCAGCTGAAAAACAAAATAGGTGGTTTTGATACTGAAAGGGAAACAAACAAATATAGGAATATAGATTTCCTCTCCAAATTTCCTCTCCTCTTATTTCCAGATTCCTTTATCAGAGGACGATATTACAAGTGGCAGTCCCAGTCTGGCTATTCACCTTCAGGTATCACTGCCAGGCAGAATTCTGTCCTCACCTTATATCCATACACAAGAACTTTCAGCTGTGGGAATCTTAGTTCATTTTCCTCATTTCTGACCTGGGAACACCACTGTCAAATAGAAAATCCATGCCTCAAGCACAGGAACAGCAGGAAACCCTACAAATTAAAAACCTACAGTCCAGAATGATATACTAGATGATTAACTTGAAAGAACTGCTTACATTTCTTTCTAATAGCAGCAGACGTTGATGTCTGGGTAGCATTTAGTCTGAACACATCATCTTCGTCAGTTACTTGAGCAGATACTGTTTCCAGAATTTTCAAAATCTCTACATTCTGGGCAGGTAAAACAGAAAACAAAGTAATGTGTAACTTCTAAGTGTTTATAAATATTATTGTTCAATATTTAATATTCAGTATTAATTTAATCTGGATTTAAGCAATCACTTTATATGAAACAAATTGGTCTCTTGAAACAACTTTCTTTACATTCACTCAAGCACAAGGAATAATTAGAGTGTACAGTAATACTGATAAGGACTAAGGAGAACACAGAACAAGGAGGAAGTTATTCAGATCCTCAGTCTACTCGGACATTCAACTGAAAATCATGGCTGATTTGTACCTCATTATTTGCTCATCCTCTATATACCCTTTGATATGCTTGCCTTACAATAATTTATCAATCTCAGTCTTGGAAATTTCATTTGGCCAAATATCCACAGCCTTGTCAGGAAAATGCTTCCTAGATATACTCTAGCATGTGCATGAAAGTGCTTCTCAGTTTTTGTGCTTAAATAGTCTAACACAAACTTGAAATCAGTGTCCCTTCGTTCTGGATGCTCTCAAATAAAATTGTTTATTTGAATTCCCTCTATTTACTTCCTTTGTAATTTTAAAACTTGATCAGATAATCTCTCAATGTTTCAAATACAAAAGGAATAGAAAATATAACTGGCCTTCATAATTTAACTCTTTGACAATCTGCATTTATACAATGCCTTTAACGTAGCAAAACATTCCACATGCTTCATTTTTAGACACAGTATAGCATCTAGCCAAATAAGTATTTATTCAGACAGGTGACAGAAAATCAGTTCAAAAAAGTGGTTCTGAGGAATTCTCATTCTGACGATTCAACACTCCGCTGCTTCCAACACTAATACGCATCATTCCTGGGATTTAGTACCTAAGAGCACTCCAGATGGAGTGTCAGGCAATGAACACCTCCAACAAGAGAAAATCTCACAATCTCTCCTTGACATTCAATTGCATTACCATCACCAAATCCCCCACAATCAACTTCCTGGAGGTTACTGCTGACCAGAAATTCAACTCTACTCACCACATAAATGCAGTGGATACAACAGCAGGTCAGAGGCTAGGAATACTGCAGCGAGTAATTCACCTCCCGACTACCCAAAGCCTCTCCGCCATCTACAAGACACAACTCACTCAAGTCAGGTGTGTGATGGAATACTCTCTACTTGTCCGGATGAATGCAGTGCCCAACAAACCTCAAAAGGTTGACACCATCCAGGTCAATGCAGCCCACATGACTGGTACCACATCCTCAAACATTCAGTCCCTCCATACCAATGCATGTGTAAATGCCATTCGTCATCCTGATTTGGGAAACAGTGCACTGTTCCTTCTATGGCATTGGGTCAAAATCCAGGAATTTCCACCCTAATGGCATTGTGGGTTAGCTTACAGTAAATGGACTGTAGCAGTTCAAGGCAGCAGCTAGCACCATCTTCGAGGGCAAGTAGGAATGGGCAGTGACACCCACACCCCATGAATGAAAAAAAAAAGCAGCAGCACATTCTTAATTTTGTATTCCAATGCCTTCAGGATAAAAAGTGAATCTCCCATTAACCCTTTTCGACTTTTTTTTGTACCCGGTGGTAGATGTTAGATCCCTGCAGAATGTCAATGATCACATCTCACCAGAGAACATTCCCTTTAACCACCACCTCCACCCTCCCCTTAAATGGAGAATTATAAAGTACACATTCAAACTTTGGAAACTAGCATGTAAGCCTGATAGATTAAGCAATCAAACTAATTAATGAAAAATTGCAAAACCAGGTCACCTAGTGCCTAAAGACTGTCATTTTTTTTGAGTATGTAATGTAGATACAATCAAAACCAAACAATTGCAGGAAAATAAACATTACAAATCTTAGGTTAGCAGTACATTTTAAATTATTTATTGCCAACGAGCCTACACTGCAAAGTCAACATTTCTGGCATAGCCTCAAATATTTTTTAAACTATCAAACATTATAAAAAGAAAGAAAATCAATTAGCCAATTTACCAACTGCTGAGAGCATCGTATGATACCACTGTGTAACAGAAAAACATCCCTGTAGTGCAATATTCATATTTAATGATTCAACAACTGAAGTACAAGATTCAAATTAAATTTGGAAAAAAACTGATGTGCAGTAAAGATTGCACAGGCTTAGCATCAAACAGTGGAAAGAGTAAATTGCACCAAATCTCATTTGTGGAAGTAATAAGAAATTGCAGTCACCATTTAATAACCTACAAAGACCACTTGTTAATTCTCATGAAATTATTCCCTTTATATAGTGCATAACTTATATTAATTTCCATAGTAAATAGACATTCTAATCAAAGCTAACTGTCGAATTTTTTTCTACTTTGGTGAATGTTGAATCCCGGAACAGTGGCACTCAACAAAAATTTTAATTTGTTTTTGGAAATGGATTTGTAGCCAGCTGTAGCATAAAGCTGAAAAACTGAGGTTAACCAATTTCTCTCATATGCATTTTAGCCAGTAAATTTCTTTGGCAGCCTTTCAATTTGAAACTAATGCAATATCCAAGTCCAAAGAGAGAGGTTAGAGAAATACCATTGCAATTCCGAAAAGAAAATCCAGAACTGAACCATAATCCAACAAATGTTACAGCTAGTGTGAAGAACAATTTTGTACTGGAAGGCCACAAAAAGTGTTAACAAAAAGCTCATGACCAACAAAATCAAATTAATAGTCAGGTACAGCATAGGTTTTTCCAAACTTCTATTCCCAACAAATATCTAAAATATTACTTCATCAGTCAACAAATGATTCTCATCTCACTCCTTTCCACGAGTAACTAATATTAGCTCGGATTCTTTTCATTTTCTTCATCCAGTTTTCAATGATAAGTCATAACATTGAATAGTGCAAAATGTCCATGAATTAGGGAAGCAGCATTGCTTGGAACATAACAGCAGATCTAGATGCTGAAGATGCAAACTTAAGGCACAACTGTGGCACTACTGGTAACAGAGTGTAAATACACAAATATAACTCTTCTGAAGAAGAGTCATACCAGATTTGAAACGAACTGCCTTTCTTTCCGCAGATGCTGCCAGACTTGCATTCTGTGTAATTACAGCACAAAAGTTTTACACCAGCAGTTTCAATAATTTACAAGGGCATTAGAATTTTATAATGAGAAGTTATCCTAAAAGGGAAATAAAATGTGAGAACGGGAAGTAAGGTTTCATAAGCAGAAACTAAATACAGCTGCGTTTCAAAAAAAAAAAAAAAACCTGGATGAGAAACGAAAATAAGGATCAGAATTTAACTAGTCCTTTTCCATAGTTTCTGCAACCTGCCATTCTTTTTTGTTTTTAAAGTTGGACTGTCAACTACTTTCTGAACATGAAAAAGGGCTCTTTTTGATTGGCTGTTATGCAATAGTCTAACTAGAGAGCTTTGCGATTGTTCAGAAATCATTTCCCACAAGCAGATTAAATGGCAACTCAAAAGGAAATTGGTTATACACTTGAAAAACCACCATTTGAAAGGCTTTTTAGAGAGGGGAGGGAAGAGGAAATAATGGATTGCTCGCTATAAAAGTTGGCACAGGAGATATGTTAAAATCCTGCAGAAAAAGGCTGTTTTATGATTCATATGTGAAGTGTCAGTTGCTAGCTTTTACCTTCCCACAGACTTCCTCAGCACAATCGACTGGTGTACACTGCTGTTTATTTCGCAAATTGACCAAGGCTCCATTGCACAAAAGTAGATTCACCAGCGCTCCATGTTTTCCCTTTACAGCCTCATGCAAAGCAGTATTTCCTTGGTTGTTGGCAAGATTAACATAGGCACCATGCTGGAAAGGTTTTCAAAGTAAGCAGATTTTAAAAACACTCACCAAGTATCAGAACAGCATGCACCCACATTAACAAATCAAAACAAAGCAGCAAAGTATTCACAGATAGTAGGAACCGCCGATGCTGGAGAATCTGAGATACAAAGGTGAGGACCTGGTAGAACATCGCCGGCAAAAAAGAAGCAGGAGAGCAGGAAAGCTTTCCTCCTGCTCCTCTGCTGCTTGGCCTGCTGTGTTCATCCAGCTCTACACCTTGTTAGCAAAGTACTTCAGTTATTTTTCCTAATACTGATGGTGTGGTGACTATGCTACCAGCAATGATCCTTATTGCTGTACCATAATCATAGAATCCCTACAGAACGGAAGCAGGCCATCAAGTCCACACTGACTCTCTGAAGACTATCCCACCCACAGTCTCCCCGCTACCACATCCTTGTAACTCTGCACTTCCCATGGCCAATCCACCTAGCCTGCACACCTTTGGACTGTGGGAGGAAACAGGAGCACCTGGAGGAAATCCACACAGACACGGGGAGAACATGCAAACTCTACAGTCATCAGAGGGTGGAATTGAACCTGGGTCAATGGTGCTGTGAGGCAGCAGTGCTGCCCATAAATACCTCAAAACTAATTACTTAAAAAAGGTTCGCGTTTTGTACCAAATTGCAATATTTGCTTGGCCTTTACACAGCAGCAAATTAAAAGTTGATGGTAAAACAATGAAAAGTTGCTGAGAATATGCTGTATTTGCTTTCTAAATTCAAGAGGGACAATTACATGGGAACTGAGTTGTGCAGAGAAAAGGGTACATGCACTCTGAAGTCAAAAATATGTCTAACAAAAAATAACCTTGTGTTTACACAATACCTTGCCTATCCTTAAGACATCCTGAAAGCTCACATCCAATAAAGTTATTTTAAGAGTACTAAATGTAGGGAAATGTGGCCGCAAATTTAAGTACAAGGTTCCACAAACAGTAATAAATGATTAAATAATATGTTTTAGTGGTGCTGCTTGAAAGACAGGAACACACCACTGCTCTTGTTTGAACAGAGTCATGGGTTACAGCTTCCTGAAGGGTTAAATAGGGCTGAGATTTAACATCTCATCTGACAGAGTGTAATACTCTATCAGTACAGTACTCCACCGAAGTGTCACTTTAGATTGTGCACTGAAATCTATGAAGTGGGGCTTCGGCCTAGGGTTATGATGTCCTGACCTACAGTGGATGTTACCAACCGAGTCAAACTCTACGAATAGTTTGAAGCACTGATTTTAACAGCTTTAGAGAAACTGCCTCAAAAGAAAATATTTCAGGCAAATTGTTGTTCTTACCTCCAGCAACAACTCAGCAATTTCCAGATGTCCTTGAAGGCAGGCATGCAGCAATGACGTATTACCATACAAATCCTTCTTATTTAATTTTGCATTATAATTCAGCAAGTATTGAACTATCTGTTAAAGGAAACACAACATTTTTGTAATTCTTCACTACAGAAATACAATACTATGTTTTAATACAAAAGTCAAATACATGAAGATCTTTAACAAACTGTTGGAACAGAGACAGAGATCTTTGTATAGTGCACATGCAGTTATAAAATACAAACGCAGTATCAAGTTTTATATGCAGATCACAGAAAAATGATTCTAAATTTGCACCAAGTATCAGTTAGGTGACAGATTAAGCATTACATACAATTCCAGGGATCCCATTACCAGAAGAGACATTAGAATTGTGATAAGGATACACCAGATTCATTGGAATGTCTGAATGAATTCTTGACGATTGTTTAATGAAGTGTACTTAAAGACGCCAAAGGCAATCACCTATATTGTGTGACATCCATCTACATGTATGAAGGTGCCAAACTGATCATATTGATCATTTTATACCTTGATCTTTTTGTCATCAAGAATCAAATAGCTGTTGGCTAATGTTTTGTTTTTCAACATTTAATTCTGCAGATATCTTTTGTCTTTAATTGGTTTGTGTCCAGTTATTTAGAAGGGCGAATACAGGTGGTTCTGCTATAACATGTTTTGTTAACTCGAATTGTCTGTAACACCATTGATGAATAATGAACGCTGTTTGGATTACACAAACTTTCTGCTGTACAGGTTTACTGATTTTCTGTAGCAATTTCCATCTAACACGATTTTCTATAGCACGAGGTCACACAAGAATACAACTATCGTGTTATAGGAGAACTACCTGTATTTATACCCTAACATTTCCAAATGTGTGGTGTGTTAATCAGCTTCGTTGAAGTCTGGTTTTCACAATAATCACTAATTTTGTTATTTACTAAAGAACCTGGTTCATCCTAATGTAAAGGATGAAGTTGACGAGAGAGAGAGAGAGAGAGACAGAGACACAGACACAGACACAGACACAGAGAGATGGAGACAGTGCACTCATTCATTCTCAAGCCATGTCAACAGGTTTACAAACCCAGATCAAAATGTGAGGAACAGAAGGAGACATTAGAAGAATTCTTTTTATACAACACTATTTCGTAATTTTCAATAGTTTACCCAATACAGAGATTTTATTATTTAAAAATAAATTTAATAACAAATAGAAGAACCGGAAAAATGGAATTAGAGTTCATTTCAAGTTGAAGAGCAAGCACTGGGCCTTAAGGCCTTCTGTTGCACTAAGTTTTACATTGGCTAGTCAACCCAAAAGAATGAGAAATTGTAGAAGAATACCAGTTATTTGAACAAGGAATGTTGTGAAAAATAGTCCAATTTTCTCTTTGAGGTGCATGCATTAATATCTCATTAAAACCTAAATAAAAACCAAAAGAACTGTGGATGCTGTAAATCAGGAACAAAAGCAAAGTTGCTGGAAAAGCTCAGCAGGTCTGGCAGCATCTGTGAAGAAAAAATCAGAATTAACATTTCGGGTCCAGTGATCCTTCCTCAGGGAGGGCTCCGAGGAAGGGTTACCGGATCAGAAAAATTAACTGACTTTTTCTTCAGAGATGCTGCCAGACCTGCTGAGCTTTTCCAGCAACTTTGCTTTTGTTCATTAAAACTTAATCCCATCTCATTTACAAATAGATTGCTATTCTCCCAGGTGCTGGTGAGAAACAAGATGGTGCCAATTTCCTCACTGGAAATTCCTAGCAGCTGCAGCTTGCTAGCATCTTCTCCAGGCCTCCATGCTAGCCAGCACTCCCCAAAACCTCAAGGCATGCTTCCTGAGCAGCAGCTGCCTCCATCTGCTAAGGGGCAGCATCAGTAATGCACCAGTCTCATCACATTATCAGGGCACATCTCGGATTGACCTATAACAACTCAGTACCCCACAACTGCACTTCTGAGCTCACCAACATTTTACATAACTTTGTTGCCAGTCTGCTTGTGTATGGGGTTGGCACCATCTCATGCAACAGAACAGGGTGCATCTCCGGGTTCTTGTAAAACCAAAAAAAAAAAAAATCCGCATATGCTCAAAATTTGAAACAAACACAGAATGCTGGAGAAACGGCATCTGTGAAACAGAGGTGAAAGAGTTAATGTTTGAGAGTCTTGTGCGACTCTTCTTCAGAAACTCTGCAGCTTACACTCGCATGTGTTCCAACCAAATGGTCACGTCTGAAAATCTAAATTGTCCACTTAAGGGACACTACAGTAAGACTATACTATCCTCTTTCAGAAAAGGAGTTGTAGTGCCCGAGTGAGGATGAAGTGCAGAGGGAAGGAAGGCCTGAAAGGTGGGAGTGTAGTTGGTTAAGAGCCATTGAGGGAAGACTTTGCAGGCAACAATTACAGCGATAGCACATGAGCCTTTGTTAAGCAAAGGCATTAAGAGATATGGGCCAAAGGTGGGTATATGGAGTTAGGCCGCATATCAGCTATGATCTCACTGATTGGTGGAGCAGGCTTGAGGGGTTGAGTGGCTTACTCCTGTTCCTAAGTAATGAATACAGTGTGATACTGAATTTCAATACAGGTGATTTTCTCTTTGCTTACCTGGAGGTCATTGTGTTGGCAAGCCAAGTGAAGTGGTGTTGCATTATGGGAATTTTTCATATTGACGTTGGCACCATGGCGCAGAAGAAGTGAGACCAGGTCAAAGTGCCCGTGTAGAGCAGCCACGTGTAATGGAGTAAAACCATCTTGATTGGCAGAATTCACACTCAGACCATTGATAGTAATACTGGAAAGTTTCTATGGAGATCAAATTAGTCATTAGCCTTTTATGCTTAACATGGTTTAATATACACAGGATATCCCGTTTTAAGTAACCCCGTGTAAAGCTTTCTTGCTTGAATTATGTTTTTGTTTTAAATGTCCTCTCTCCTTTTGCCATTCCACATTTTAACATTCCTTACTGTCCAGTCATGTCTTGCATCAGCACGGACACTACAGTGGGTGCCATTGTGTCCGTGCCCTGCAGTTAAAGATTACCTTTTTCTAAACAGTTCTCTGCTAAAGTTATTGAAGTAAATTTCATTTTTAATCCAAGTTCTAACTTTCTCTGCTGTTTGTATATATAGTAGCAGAGGACCCACTGCGGTCTTAGCTTTTTAAAGAAACTCTGCTTTACTACATTCTACAGATTTTTTAAATTGGACAGGTACAATAGTTGAGGGATCTGCAGGACAGGTAGAGTAAACTGTAAATTTTGGAGTCATGTTGAGGTTGTATAAGACATTGGAGAGGAGTCTTCTGGAAAACTGTGCTGAAAGCTGGGGAGGATTCAGAACAAATTTATCAGGACGTTGCTGGATATGGATGGTTTGAGTTATAAAGAAAGGCTGGGACTTTTTTCACTGGAACATAGGAGTTTGAGAGGTGACCTTATAGAGGTTATAAAATCATGAGGGATTTTCGCTAGGATGAAGGATTTCAAGACTACGGTGCACATTGCTAAGGTGAGAAGAGAAAGATTTAAAAAAAGACACACTCTTTTACAGAGTGTGGTCCTTCTCGAGGAAGTGGTGGGTGTGGTTACAATAATGTTTAAGACATTTGGATAAGTACATGAATAGGAAAGGTTTGGAGGGATATGGGCCATGTGCAGGCAGGTGGGACGAGTTTAGTTTGGGATTATGTTTGGCATGGACTGGTTGGACCGAAGGTTCTGTCTCCGTGCTAAGAATACACAGTAAAAGACATGTATGGCACACTATTTTGAATCTCACAGGGCTTTTATATTACTTGTATCACGTTTTATAGCTCAATTCAAGAGCAATTTATGTTTGTATTACATTGTCCTAGCTTATTGCAACAATAAGTGATGCAAAAAGGCAATTATTTGAGAGTTACAGACCAGGCAGAATTTTTATTTATGTGTGTCAAGTTTTCCACATTCCATTTACTTTTCTAATGTTCATGCAACCTTAGTACAGATGTTTTTCCTGTAAATCAAGAGCTGCATTTTGGATTAAACATACACCTCAGCTACTGGAAGCAATTATGTTGCAGGAAAAGGCACAAACCTTTTGTGCTGGCTCACACTTTGGACACTGACACAAAGGATGACAGAATTCTGATTTCAACACAAGGCCTTCCTCTTCCTCCGGATCTTCATCCATCCATTCTAATAGATATCGAACCTACAATTAAACACAAAGGAGGTAATCTTCAAAGCAGAAGGAAGGGGTGGAGATAGGGGAGCAATCTGCTGGAACAACACATCCACGGTTTCTTTTTCTGCTGAGAAAATTCAGTCACCTGATCACAATTCAACTGTACCCAAAATTCCAAGATAACAATGCAACCAGGTGAGGAAAGATGAATCTGCTCCCTTCTTTTCAACCACCCCAGTTGACCACAATAAAGATTTTGAATTCTTCCCAGCATGAGATTACAATTCAGCCCTCACACCCTCACTTCCCTCCCACAACAACGATAGGGTACCCTTGTACTTACCTACTATAACCACCAGCATCCACGTCCAGAGGATCAATAGCTGCCATTTCCGCCACCACGAGACACATATTCTCCTCCCCTCCCATCAGCCTTCTGCAAGGACCGCTCCCTCTGGGAGGCCCTGGTCCACTCCTAACAACAACTGCACCCCCACTCCCCCTAACCCCCACAGCACCTTCCCCTGCAACCACAACAAGCGTAACACCTGCCCATTTACCTCCTCCCTCCCCACTATCCAAGAGCCCAAATATACCTTCCAGGTGAAGCAGCACTTCACACAATCTAGTCTGCTGCATTCGCTGCTCACAATGTGGTCTCTTCTGCATTGGGGAAACAAGGCATACACTTGGTGAAAGACCACAAAAAAGACCGAGCTTCCAGTTGCCCACCACTTCAACACACCACCTTGTTCCCTGACTAACATCTCTGTCTTGGGCTTGCTGCAATGCAGCACAAGGTGGAAGAACAGCCCCTCATTTTCTGCTTGGGAACACTATAGCCTTCTGAACACAATATTGAGTTCAACAGTTTTAGGACTTGAGGACCTTCCCCCATGTCTTACCCCAAACCCTACACACCAGGCCTTGCTGTCATGTGGTCGGCTATTGCACACAACCCATTGTTAGCCAGTAATGGTCTCCATTAATAGTTATTCATTCTCCTAGGCTGATTAATATCCACTCCTTTGTCTGTCCAACTGTTCTTCTCTCTCTTTGGACTATATCTCCGCCAATCGTTTGTTCCTTACCCCCTGCCCCCATCCTATTTTCTGCATAAAAACCAACCTTCTCCTAGCTACCATCAGTTCTGAAGGAGGCTCACTGGGCGCAAAATGTTAATTCAGATTTTGCTCCACAGATGCCACCAGACATGCTGAGCCTTTCAAACAATTTCTGTTTCTTTTCATTAGTTAAAAATTTACTATTGCTAATCTGAGATAAACAATGCCATGTCAAGCATACAGCTTTTGGACAATCACACACACAGCTACAAAGTTATAACAAAGTTGATGTCTTAGACCATCAGCAGTAGAAAATATTGCAGCTAATTTCTGTGGAGAGGGGGTGCAAGGGAGGAAACGTGCGTGAGACAGCAACAGAGAGAAAGAGAGTGTGAGAGAAAATGCACAAGAGAGATGCATGAGAGGGGCACGAGGGAAGGCATGCGCAAGAGACAGGCATGACAGATAGCATGCACGTGCAAGAGAGAGTGCAAAGAATTCTATAAATTGGTTAAATGCGACTTCCCTTTCACAAAACCATGTTGAGTCTGCCCAATTTCCTTGAGCTTATCCAAATGCCCTGCTACGTCATCTTTAATAACAGCTCCTAGCATTTTTCCAACAGTAGATGTTGAGCTAACTGTCTTGTAGTTTCCTGCTTTGTCTCCCATCATTTTTTAATTAATAAAAAAATTGCATTTGTGAACATCCAATCAAATGGGACTCCTGATTCAAGAGAGTTTTGGAAAATTAAATTCAATTTATCCACTATCTCACTAGCCACTTCTTTTAAGACCCTGGTATGGAGTCCTTCAAGACCTGGACGCTTTGCAGACTGCAGCTCCAACAATCTCCTCAGTATCACTTCTCTGGTGATTGCAGGTTTCCCAAGTTCCTCCCTCAAGGCCATTTCCTCATTTAAAGCTGTTCTCAGGAGGTTATTTTTATCATTGAAAATGAAGATCAATGCAAAATATTGGTTAAATTATCAGCCACCTCTATTTTTCAGCATTAATTGTCTTAGTCTCATTTTCAATAAGGTCTACGCTCACTTTGTTAACTCCTTCCTTTTCTAAAAACGTGCACTCAGTATTTGCCTTATATTTCTAGCTAACTTACTCAATCAATTACTTCCTTTTTTTTGGTGTTCTTGGTACTCTGCCCAATCTTCTGACCTGCCACCCGTTTTTGTACAATTGCATGCTTTCTCTTCAAATCCGATATCATTTTTAGCCTTTCTAGTTAATCACAAATAGTGGATCGTCAGTTGAAATTGTTTCACTCTAAAATGAATCTTTTCTGTGCATTCTGAAATAGCTCATTAAATGTTTGTCAATGCAGTTCCATTGAGCTAATCTTTAACCTAATCTGACAATTCATTTTAGTCAGCTCTGATCTCATATCCTCATAATTGTTCTTATTTAAATTTTAAAAACCACACAGTCTCAGAGCCACGTTTCTCTCCCTCAAACTGAATGTAAAATTCAAATTGTATTATGGTCATTGCTACCCAGAGGCACCTTTAATACGATATTAATAAGTAATCCTATCTCACTGTACAGTATCAGGTCTCTGGTTAACTTCAACATTGATTCAGTGGCCCAAATTTCCATACAACAGTTTAATTCGGATGGAATCAAATTAAATAGCACAAAGTTTCACTGAAATTTTAAGCAGAAGTGAGTTGCTACAATAAATAACTTGAGTATCTGTGACACTTTTGCAATAATTCAAAGATCTTTCCCTGATGCTTCCCCACCCACACCCACCTATGCCCCAGGTCAGAATGGTGAGTTTCTATTGGGGGGGATTACTCCCCTAGTAGAATCTCCAGACCTACATATTGTATGAATTGCCTCTAGTGCATGATAATATTTTCTGCCTTTTTGGCTAGACAGGCTGGACATCTTATTTGATTTCCAGTGACTATAACTGGAGAGGATAAGAGTTAAAACTAGGTATTCCTACCCACAATGACACATGAAAAGATACACAATTTGTATCCTGCAAGACACATCCAGCTTAATTGCCCATTACTACAATTTTGTTTTGCATTTGTAGTAAAAGTCAAAGAATGGTACAGCACGGAAACAAACCCTTCAGCCTAACTCATTATACCGATGAAGTTTCCTAAACTGAACTAGTCCCATTTGCCTGCATTTGGCCCATTTCCCTCTAAACGTTTCTCATCCATGTACGTGTCCAAATGGCTTTCAAATGCTGTAATTGTACTTGCCTCCGTTTCCCCTGGCAGCTCATTCCATACACACACCACCCACTGTGAAAAAGTTACTCCTCGGTTCCCTTTTAAATCTTACCCATCTCATCTTAAACTTGTGCCCATTGTACACAACCAACTCCTGTAATATTAAAAGATCTAAACAGTGCACTCTACGCAAAGCTTAGTTTATTCCTATTTTCCAAATTACTAATCTTTCTTTTACTGTAATTAATTATGAAAGCTTGCTGAGTTAAGCAAAGGACAGAAGGAGAGCAGGATACTGAGTGACCATTCAATAAATTATACATGAATTCCTGCTGTCCAATCAGTCATCACTGTTTTCCTTTCAGTTTAATACCCTGTTAATACCTTTAGAGTGGATTTCCAGGATAATGGCAAGGTTAACAGAGGGCCATTTAAAACAGCTACATGCTGCATCTTCTCATTTCCAATCCAGATACCAAATTATAATAAATAAGTGACTGAACATTTATGTGGCAGCTTTCCGCTATACCCAGCTGAATGGTCTAAATATATTGATGTAGTAATCCACTAATTTACAAAGGAAAATAATGCACCTTTAATTAATTAAAAGAAAAAAAATGAGGTAGATTATTAAACTACACATCAACTACATTGCCCATGCTACCACATAAGTAAACAAGGACTTTGGACAGCTAATACAAAATATTTACTCAACCTTACATAGCTGGAAATTTGAATACACTCTGTTTGAATTTTTAGAATGTTTTATTTGCCCTCAAGGCTCTCTCAACAGGAGCTTGTTTCATTATGGTATTCGGTTCCATTACAAAATAACTGGCACCAGTCAAGTCAGAGTGCACAACCAATTTAAATGTCCAATAAAACTTCTTTTCCGAAAGAGAGATAATCAAAATTAATTTGAATTTATTTTTGCTCTGGCAACAAAATCCAAACCTTTGCATTTTCATTCATTGGGACTACATCAACTCTTGCCCAGTTGATAGCACTCTTTCCTCCAAAAAGGTTTTTGGGTCAAATTCCACTCCAGGAGGTGAACACAAAAATCGAAGTTGATCTCCTTAAAGGTGGGGTGCTCCATTGTTGAAGGCACCATCTCTTAAATGCAAGTCTCCAAAGAGAAAATGGTCAAAACAGGGTGAAAGTGCCAGCAGCATAAAAGACAGACTACATCTCTTCTAGAGATAAGAGTGACAATCTGGGTGGAGCAAATAGTGAATTGTGGAAATCCATGTGTTCATCTGCTGATTTTTCACAAAATCTTTTCTCTGGAACTGTAGGCTGTCATTACCAATGAGGTCAGTATGAAGTGACAAGAACAGACTGTAGAATCAAGTGAGCTAGAAACCAGGACTGAAGGAGATCAGAACCAAATGAATCAGAGGCTTTTAAAACAAAGAAGAAGCTGCCACTGCTCATCAAGCACCAGTTGGAAACAAAGCAGCAATGTTTTATAATGGCTATTGAAAGTCAATTAGAGATTTTATATGTAAAGAATTTGATCTCAAGTGTTTTAATCTGCAAATTAATTATATAATGTAAATAAAACCTATTACAACTGCTTAAAGTTTCTTTGAAGTAACTGTGAGGTGTGGCATTATCTGGAAGTTCATTTTCTTCACAGTTAGTAACAGTTGTTTTGAGATAAGAAAGTTTCCTTATTGTATTTGAATATTTCTGTCACATCACAAACTACCAAGTTGTGAAGTAGAATAGATTGGAGTGATGAATATTATTTTAAAATAAATTACACAGACTCCTATATTGACAATTTTACCATGCCGTACAACATAACTCTTAGACTGTTTGTGGGCAAGTGGTGTCATATTGTTAGAACTTTGACAGCTGTTTACAGTTTACTAATATGCATTTGGTGAAAATCCATCAGCACATACTAATGAGAAGAAAGCTTGGCATGATGTGCCTGCACAACAACACATCAACCATATAACGGTGCTATGTGTTACTACAATTAACAGGACAGTTCGTCTAGAAGGACCAGAGTTTTGTATTCTGGATAAATGTTTCCAAAACATCCATTTTATTATAATCCTGAAAGCATTGCTCCTGATCTTGAGAATTAAAACGCAATCTGAATTAAAATAAAACAAAGCACTTCAAGGCTATTTTTCTTTATATTATTCTAATCCACACATTAAAGCTTCATGGTGTACAAATCAAAATCTATTTAGAAACTGTACAAATTTTAAATCAGATGTGTCTTCTCCAAATATTTTCCAAAGTACATTTTACATCAGTTCCTTAGAAGTATAGAGGTTGATGTTTATGTCCAGCCAAATACAGTTTACTTTGTGCATATGAATCTAAGGTCCATTCATAAAATGAAAAATGAATGAACAGCATACTTAAAAATCACAAAACCTACTATTCAAGTGTCAGTATTTACTTGGCACTTTGCCAAATCAGCAAAGAAACCACATGTCTATCCCTTCAACTAATTTCAATAGGTCCAGTTTTGACTGGCTGAACTTACCATTTCTACATCTCCATCAGCTACAGCACGCAATAATTTTTCCACCTGCAATAAAATTGCAACAAGCTAAGCTCCTTCTCAATAATAAGTGAAGAGGAAGGATTATCTGCTTTAGTACAATGCTTTGCAGCAGTTTTATAATCTGATCAGCAGGGATTACAAAGATGTTAAAATTACAGAGTCAAGATTTTTAAAAATCCACTTCTTAACTGTGTGCAGGCTCAACATGAAAGTCTTGCTTTCAGATACCTTATTAGCAAAGGTTTTGTGTGACAACATAAATGAAACAAAAGATTAACCCTCGAAACATTATTTATGCTTTGTATGGTCAGCCAAAAGCTTTCAATTCCAGCCAAAATCTGAAAATAAAAACTTTTCAGTAATTTTCTTGGATGCTAAATTATTTTACATTAATTATCAGTCTCATCATTAAAACATTCACTTATTCTTATAAATGCCATTACTAGACATTGTTGATTGATTAACAGCTCACTACAGACTTATTCAGGGCTATTAGGGATGGGCAGTAGATGTTTAAGACAGTGACATCCATATCCTATGTATGAATTTTTTTAAAAAAATTCTAAACTGTAAAATTATTTTGAGTCTGCACCTGCCCCACCATAATGTGACAATTGGGAGTAAATAGCTTTGTGACTTGAAATAACGAGGTAACAAAGCACTTTGGTGGCACAGTGGTTAGCACAGCTGCCTCACAGCACCAGGGTTCAATTCCAGCCTCGGATGATTGTCTATACAGAGTTGCAAGTTCTTGCCCGGTCTGAGTGGGTTTCTGTCAGGTGCTCCAGTTTCCTTCCACAATCCAAAGATGTGCAGGTTAAGTGGATTGGCCATGCTAAATTGCCAATAGTGTCCAGGGATGGAAAAGCCAGGTGGATTAGCCATGGGAAATGCAGGGTTGCAGGAATAGGGTGGGATACTCTTCAGAGGGGCAGTGTAGACTCGATGGGCCGAAAGGCTTGAATCCACACTGTAGGGATTCTATGATTTAAGTAAAAACATGCACCACTAATCCACCTCCTTGATCAAAAAAATGAAATTTATAGGTAAAATTAATTTCAAAATTTGGAATGACTTAGAACTTTGATACTCACTCATTACCTACACTGCATTGGGTAGAATAATGTACTATATGTTTATGACTTTAAAATTACATTTTTAAATTTTGTATAAGTTATACAGAAGTAGGATATAATGAAGACAGAAATGACAAAGTATTTAACTAATTTTAGCTGTAAAACAAACTTAAGACAAATTTTAAAATATGGGGCAATACCATTGGCTGAAAAATATTTTTCAGATGAGATATAAAGTTGGTAGATCACTGATGATACTTGTATTAATTTAAATTTTATTCTGCAGTATACAAACTGGTTACATGTTCGAGAAGTGAAATAATTAGTTTATCTAGCAGTGTGGAACATTCCTAAATCAAATTGGTATTCCGGTTTGATTTCTTTGCAAATGTGTAGAAAAAGAGAGGGTTCACTTTGACGCTCTATTCACTGCTAAAACAAAGCAGAGCAATTTGTTTCGTAGATCTCTAGATTTAGAGGTTGAAGAGACATAAGAACGTGTGGAGAAATTGTCCACAGTAAGATAAAATAAAACTGCTTTCACCTCTTTATATTTGCCTTTCTCTTCTTCAGCCTTTGTTTCAACTGATATGGAGGAGACCGTTGAAAGAAATGATTTCTGACTACCAGCATCAGTGGAAGGCTGAGTTGATCTATCAACCGACTACAGAAAGCAATGGTTAAGTTAGTACAAGGTAAATCAATGCAAATAATAGTTACTAAAAATATAATTCAAAAAACTGAAGGCTTTGAAGAAAAGAGGAACACAACATGATAATGAAAGACAGCAAAAAAAGTGTGCAAAATAAATAAGTGCATTTTCACATTCTAACAAAACAACGAAATATACTTAACTGCTTTTACATTTAAAGAAAAAGGGCAAGTTTAGACAGACAACTTGGCATTGGTAGTTACCTCTGGCATGCTCTGTCGCCGGTCATTGTCAAAGTAGGTAATTTCCAGCAAATCTAAAATCTAAGAGCAGAGACCAACACATTTCTTTAACAAAAAGTTTAATTACCTGCTAACAATATTCTTTTCATTCAGTCTGCAGATACAAATGCTCAGGTTCAAAATGAAAATTTCTTACAGTTAAAAGAAATTTTGCTGCACAAAATCAAAAGGTTAACATGAATCAGCTACACAACATATCTTGATGTTCCTCCCAAACATTCATCTTATCTTTCCTCTTCTTAATTTTGACCATTTTCATCCTTGAATTTCTGGAATTTTTCCATTCATTTCTTGTCTTGTGTTTGCAAACTCTCCAACACTGCAACATCCTATGGTCAAGTGAGTTTTCTTGCCAGACTGCCACCATAAATTTTACTTTTAGCAAAGAGCAATAAGGCATTTGATAAAATTACTCCTGATTGTGCTAAAAGAAAGCCAATCCCATGGATCATGAACTGCAAAGAGCACAAAGTTTAGATTCTTTTCTCTCCATAACATACCACTATGTCCTGGGGAACTCTCTCATTTTAAAGGTTCAACTTTTAAGATTTGACAAACAATGACCATCATATTATCTTGCTTTATAAAGTTACTCATTGAGTAAAGTCTCTTTTTAAGGATAAAATTAAAATTCATGTGTTGATTTGTAAAGAGAACTCAATCCAAGGGAGAAAGATCTCACACACAACTTTGTATATAGATTTTTTTTTGTTAAATTGACACACTTGGCCAAGTTATTTTTGTAAGTAGCCCCAAACTAATAAACTGACGTGAGATAATCTGGTACCTAATGAAAAGTTGGATTTATTGCCTAGTTAAAATCTGCTGAAGCATTTATGTTACTTTTAAAAATTTGATTCTCAAATGCTTAAATGGGCAAAACATATAAATTGTCCCATCCCTTCCTTCATTTTTGTGAAGACAAATTAAATTAACAGCAAAAGATAAATGCCAATCTTGGCGTTTGAAATACAATTTGATTACAGAATTATTTCTTTTCTAGTAGCAAAGCTTTGTGATTATGAAACTTCAGAAGTGCTGACTGCATACTTGTGCTACCAAATTCAATTTTACCACAATTCTCACAGTAATCCTAGTAGTCATGTGTGGATAGTTAGATACAGCAACCTAATTTTCAAGATTGAATCCTATATAAAATTCAGCTTCTCTCTATTCATCATCCATAGCAATATCTGTTTCTCCTTCTAAATAGTTAATATGGATAAACTGCATGATCTTGCAATATGAACCTATGCAATGTTTAACATCATCAACACATAGGTCAATATAAAGTTTAGCTTGTATTACCTTAGAATTAAGTGCACATTGTAAAGGTGTTTCTTTCATTTTGTTCTGAATTTCATTACTAGCACCATTCTCCAGCAACACCTGAATGATGCCATCATAACCCCATCGCGCAGCAATGTGGAGAGGTGTATCACCTTTGTCATTTGTCATGTTTAATTTGCAGGTATTTAAATGGTAATACACTAGAGCTTTGACACACTACAAAAGAACAAAAATAAAACTATTAGTTTCGCTAAAAGAACAAATATTGTATAGTTACATCTTTCTTTTTAGTTCTATTCTATCTATCAGAATACTTTTGGAAGGCCACCTCAGAAGGAAATTTTAAAAAGATGACCAAACAAATTGGTTAGTGTACTCAATGCAGACAGTTTGTTTCTAATAATTACAGTAAACTGTCCAGACTTTCAATTACATTCCCTCAACATTAAATAGCTATATTGGTAAATTCATCATTACATTACAGGTTACTGAACTTGTTATCGACTAGCACATCCTGAAAAACAGCTGTGAGGAGTAGGTTTTTTCCAAAACTTAGTTAACAAGAGATGCCAATACAATGAAGAAACTAAATATTTTCGAATTTCAGGTGATAGCTCTTTAAAAAGTGAAGCAAGGGAAACCCTCTGGTAACTTCTTCACTTCACCATGAAAATGATGATTTGGCCATATATTCCATTGCTAATTGTGGGAGCTTGCTGTGTACAATCAAACTGGTATATTTCCTATATTATAACAGGGGCTAGACTTCACATATATTTAATTGGTTGCCAAATGGCTTAGAACATCCTCCCATATAAATGCAAGTCATTTGCCTTCTTTATGTGTGAGGAAACCTTTTGACTCTTGACAAAAGATATGTTGTTCAAATAGTATTTCAAATCACTTTCAAAGTCTATGTCCTGTCCAATCAATTTTATTGTCAAGTACAAAACTACAAGCTAAAATAGATTTCAGGAAAAGATCTAATGCAAATTGACTTACTCAACTTTTAACAAAAAACCCAAAAGAACTGCAGTTGCTGGAAATCAGAAAAACAAACAGAAATTGCTGGAAAAACTCAGCAGGTCTTGCAGCATCTCTGGAGAGAAATCAGAGTTAATGTTTCAAGTCCAGAGACCCTTCAGAACCGATTGTAGCTAGGTAAAGGTTGTTGTATACGTTGAAGATAGGGGTGGGTGGGGGAAGCATTAAATCGATAGATGGAGATGGAGATGGAGATGGAACCCAGAGAGAGAAAAAATAGCTGGGCAAATCAAAAGAATAGGTAAAGATCAGCTTCGGAGAATGAATGGCTGCAAGTAGGGACTACTGATAGCTGATAATGGATTGGTTGTGGTGGCAGCCCATGTGATGACAACTTCTGGGGTGTGGAGGTTGGGGTAAGGACATGGGAGACAGTACTCAGGTCCTAAAATTGCTGAACGCGATAAGGAGTCCCGAAGGCTGCAGGGTCCCCAAACAGAAAATGAGGCACTGTTCTTCCAGATTATACATGTATACCAACCTTTTACTAGCTACAATCTGTTCTGAAGAAGGGTCACTGGACCCGATACATTAACTCTGCTTTCCCTGGACAGATGCTGTCAGACCTGCTGCGTTTTTCCACTAATTTCTGTTTTTATTATTCAACTATTAGACTTGATAGTCATTAGAAGCTTTGTATCCCTGTGCTGTTACATCTATATCAGAAGACCAAATAGAAATGCAGCATCATGACTCAGGAAACCGGCAAGGGGGCACAGGTTTCGTTTACTGAATTTGACTTTTGTTACTGTGCCTTTCTCCATTGGGCGAGCACTTTGGCCATCCTAGGTCTGCATAAGAAAATGCTATGCACAAGCACAAGCTAGTAAATTTCTATATTCCTAGTTTGCATTGGATTCTCTGATCTCTGCCAACAGAATAGAAAGGAGATGCCAATGGAGAGCTCAATGCTATCAGCTATAATTCCTACTTTTGATCACTAGCTAAGCTGAGACCTAGAATTATTCAAACAGATCTCAGCAAGCAGCACCAGTTGCTGGACAAAAAAAAAAGGTAAGAAGAGAAAATGGGAGAAACAGGGGCTAACATGATGCTCATATGAAGCCAGTTGAGGTTCATCAGTGCTACATGACACTTTTTAAAACATACCATGATCAACAATGTAGTAGAAATACAATACACTCAGAAGGTCAAAATAGCAACCTTGGCCAATGCCATTTCTATAAAGCCCTCCAAGCCTATTATTACCTGCCCTACAACATTCCTATTTTTGACTTTGGCTTCTTACATGCCCTTTCCTGCTTTCCTTTGGTCGTCTATTGGTAGTTGTGCCTTTAGAGTATGGATCCAACATCTCTGAATTTCCTCTTTAAATCCCACCTCGGACTGGCTGATCCTTCTCCTCCAAGATCTTCCTTAAAATCTACTACTTTGACAATGCATTTAGCCAGCCAGCTTCTGGCTCAGTTGCCATTACCTCTATGAAATGCATTGAGACTAAAAAAGAAAAAAGGCTTACTTTTATGTATTATCTTTCAGAGTCTCAAGATGTCTACAAATACTTTAGAAGTGATGTCACTGGCGCAATCTAGGATATTTTACTATATTAAAAGCATTAGATAAATGCAAGCTTGCTGTTGTTGATATTGTTAACCATTAGGCTACTGAGAGCTCATTGCAAGGTCAAAAACTGGATAGGGAGTTACAGAAGCAAACAGGAGACATTTTGGAGACAGAGAGTGTGATAAAGGAAAGAGATCAGTGGGAACAGAATGTGGACAAAGGAAGAGATGAGGCTAAGTTAGGGAATACTATAGGTGTGGGATTATAATGGAAGCAAATGGTCAAGTTATATTCCTGGAAGATTTACAACCACATTTATACTTAAGACTTCATGTAAGTTGAATTCTGTTCAATATGCAAACTTACATCTTCATGACCATGCATGCAAGCCAAATGAAGTGGAGTATTGCCATTATTATCTTGTGCTTCAGTGCTAGCCTTGTAGTCCAGAAGAAGCAACTAAACATTTAAAAGAAAGGTGTCAAAATCTGTCTGCAACCTAAAAGCGATTCAGTAAAACTAGCAAACAAGACATCAATAATACATTTTTTGAAGTTACATGTAAAATCAGAGTTTTTTTGGGCAGAAAGAATCTGCAGTTAATTTCTTAACCTGTCTGCAGTTTATGGACACTGATTCAAACACTACAGCACTGTTTTTATGACCAGAATATCCTGAACACACTAGTGGAAATGTGGTATTTTGTCTCATGTCCACTATATTATATAAAATTACTAAAATAATTCCTTCATAGACAATTAGTTTATCTGTCAAAACTTAAAATGCTCCAGTAACTGGCAAGCGCTCTCTTTTGTTTGTAATCTTCTATTCCAAATAATCAATCAGCTTTCAGGAATGTCTTGAAACTCAAATTTACTTACAGTCACATTTTGATACCCTTTCTGACAGCACAGGTGAAGTGGGGTGGACCCATGATAATCTGTAGCATTAACTGCGCTTCCCTTTTCAACTAATAGGTCAATCAATGATGCTTGGCCTGGAGGATAAAATACTTGCGTTAACAATTAACTTAGAAAAACATTTTATGAGAACTATTCTAAAAGTGCCAAATTAACAAGCTGCCCTTTGCATAGTTCTCGACAAATATTTTAATTTAAACATTAAATTGAGAGATAAATTTTAAATCTGAGGATTTAAACAGACACAAGTTACCCAGCTGTAGAAATCTGATCACTGCACAAATGCAATGCTTACCACAGAAAGCAGCTACATGCAATGGTGTATAACCCCGGTCATCTCTAGAACATGGTGTGACAATAGATGGGTCATTCAACCGTCTACAAAATAGAAAAGTCATCAGATACTTGATTCAATTATACAAACACAGATATGTTAAATAACCAAAAGTCAGCTAATTGGCTAAAAAACAAATTTGCTCGTGCAATAACAAAGTTTCCCCCGGAAGTTGTATGTACATAATCTTAACTGCAGGTTGGACATACTCCATAGACTTTAAATGCCCCCTTGGCATTATCCAGCACATAGTCACCTTGGAAAAGGTACAGACTGGATAATATACCAGTTTCAGCTCTGTTGAAACAGCTAGTCCCCTGCACCTCTCAAATTTTGGCTGGCGCATACTGATAGATAAATTTTTCAGTGCTTTGCAGGAGAATTAAATATTACTGCTAAAGTAATAATAAATTCCTTTTTGCAGCATTCCCATCAAGCATGTGTTAAGAACACTACAGATTTACCATTTTAACTAATAATAATCCTGTTCTCAGATTTTTGTTGCCTGTCCAGTCTCAATCCCCAACTGTCCATTTCACCATTCTTTCTTAATTTTCTTTTAGTCCATTTAGACACGTCCCCTTCCCCTTGCTTAACCCAAGTATGCCAGCTTTCCTTTCCTCCCCATCTCTAATCCAATTTGTCACTGTTCCTCTGCCTTCCTACCAGGTTCAAGCCTCCCTTGGATAAGTCCACAGCAACACACTGTACTGTTCTCTGCATTATCTGGAGAACATATGATCATCCATGTTGCTGCCTCCTTAACAGCAGAACAGACTTTAGCCCACCCCAAGTGCTTTCAGGAGGATACAATGACAAGTTCAAGTCAGTATAAATTCAAGCTGGGAACAATACAATATGGTGGCAAGCTTCAGGTTCAGCTCAAAACAGTGAGAATTCAAAAGGTCCCAATTGGTTCAGTCAGTTATTTTTCATGCTTTTACAGCCCAATAAAACAGAAATGAGCAACTGTTAACTTACAGTCACATGCATATTATGGGGCCCAAAAATTGTGGTTCTATACCAGATCCTATTGAACATGTTGTTATGATGACAGAGGAACCCCAAAATATTCACAGACATGTTAAACTTTCTATTACAATAATTTAAAACAAGGGGCTATAGCCAAAACAGTGCTGCTGATGAAAATTAAGTGGCTGCCTGCAGAACTAGACCTTGGAATGTCGCACATGACAATACATCCAGAAAGCTTTAAGGGATAGAGTTACAAAGGTGGAATGCACTACCAACTGAACCATAATCTCAGACTGTGAATATGATGGTAGAAAAGACTGCAGTCTTGGAGAGAGAGATTTTTGGGATCTTCCTGTTTCAAAGGATTCAAGGGTTAAAAGCTAGTTGAATCACGCCGCAGTGTGCTACTGGAAGGTGGTGTGACAGGAGAAGCAATGGTGTTGTGACAATGTCAGTGGGCTAGTAATGCAAAACCCCAGATTAATGTTCTGGAGACAGGGGTTCAAGTCTCACCATGGCAGATGGCGAAATCTGATTCAATAAAGGAAAAAAAAGAAAAGAATCCGGAACTAAAAAGATAATGGAATAAAATTTTAGAAAAATGGCTGAGGTATTAATAGTCTGGGTTTAAATGCTAGTGTGCTGTGAAGGTCACAGTGGAAGAACTTATCACACATAATGCCTATAAAGGATTTTCTTGCTATGAATGCCAGAAGCCAGCTGCCAATTAGCCACTGTCAAAGGAAAACACAAAAGAATTTCAACTAACCTGCAAAGCAAAGAACCTGAAATTTTCTTCTCTTCTCAAATAACCAGAGACTGAACTTTAATTTTTTTGTTTTGAGTACACTTCCCATTTCCAATTTGTTTGCATTACTATTTCCTCTCACATTTAACAACTAATAAACTCTCCCATTAGCTCAAGGAAACCTGGTTATATTGGGTCTTTTAAAAACAAATTAATTTGGCTCAAGAGGAAGGTATCCAGAAGGAAGAGGATGCTTTGTTGATTAACCTTGTCATGAACATCCAAGGGTCACATGAATAAAGAAGGGGAATGACTTTATTATTCTTCACCTGGGAGCTTGACAATTTGGGGTATCTTGTCTACTTTTAGTTCATTGCAGAGAAATGGACTGCACTGGCTTGGCCAGCATTTACCGACCATTCTAGTTACCCTTGAGAAGCTGGTGTTGCACTACCTCTTGAATCACTACAGTTCATTTGGTAGAAGTACATCCAGTACGGTTATGGAGGGAGTTACAGAATTTGACGTTGTGACACTGAAGCAATGGGGATATACTACCTGCAGTGCATCTTGGAGATGGTACACACTGATACCACTGTGCCTTGGCGGCGGAGAGAGAAATATTTGAGGGATGTGTTGCCAATCAAATGGGTTGCTTTGTCCTGGATGGTGTCAAGCTTCCAAACATTAATGAAACTACAATCATCAAGGCAAGTGGAAAGTATGAAAACATACGAATCAAGAGCAGGAGTAGACCATTCAGTCCCTCCAGTCTTCTCTGCCATTCAATCAGATCTTGGCTGATCCAACTGTAACCTTAAATCCACATCCTACCTAGCCCATAACCCTTCTACCCATGCCTTAACAAGAATTTACCTACATCTGCCTCAAAAAAATTCAAGGACTCTACCTTTACCACCTTTCCATGAAGACAGTTCCAAAGGCTCAGAACTTTGAGTAAAGAATCGTACTTATTCTGTGCTGTAAAATGGCAACTTCGGATTTTTAAAACAGCTCTAGATTCTAGATGTTCTATATTCTCCTGTAAGTGGAAACATTCCCTCCATACACGTTCTGTCAAGACCCTTCAGGATTTTATATGTTTCATTCATAACACCGCTTATTTGTCTAATCCAAACTATTGCCATGTAGATGATAGACAGACTTTGAGGAGTCATGACTCAAGTTACTCACTGCAGGATTCCTAGCCTCTGACTTTGGCATGGGCCACAGTATTTAAATGGCCAGTCCAGTTCATTTTCTGGTCAATAGTAAATCCTCAGGGTGTCAATAGTGGGGTATTTAGTGATGGTAATGCCACCGAATGTCAAAGGAAGATGGTTGGAATCAGTCTGTTGGAGATGGTCTGGCATTTGTGTGGCATAAATGTTACTTGCCACATGTCAGCCCAAGCCCAGATATTGTCCAGATCTTGTTGCATTTGAACATCGACTGCCTCAGTATCTGAACACTGTGAATGGAACTGAACATTGCGCAAATCATTGGCGAACATCCCCACTTCTAACCTTATGATGGAGAGAAGGTCATTGATGAAGTAGCTGAAAAAGGTTTGTTCAAGGACACTACCCTGAGGCATTCTTGCAGAGACAGCCTGAAGCTGAATGACAGACTGCAGTCAATGTTCAGGATTCCAAGGACAACTCCTTCCCTGACTCCATACCACTTTGTAGCCATCTCTGCCAGCTCTGTCATGCTAATGGAACAAGATGGTAATGGCGTTTCTGGGACACTCAGTAAGATATGATTCCGTGACCATGGCTACGTTAGGTTGTTGCTGGATTAATCGGTGACATAGCTCTCCCAAATTTGGCACTAGCCCCCATACATCACTAAGGAGGAACTGGCTGTTGCCAGGTGGCCCATCTGGTTTATTTTCTTTCTTGGACTGTAAAGATTGGGGAATCTTGCCGACGGTCTGGTTTTAACAATATCCATTGGTAAACAACTCCTGGCTAACTTATGTTTAATAGTATAGTCATGGCTAGCTGCAAAGTGGTGCATTTTCCTTTTGTGCATGAACTAAAATCCTTACCACAACAAACGTATCCGTGAAGAAGTTTGTTGAGACATACCAGCCTCGTCAGTGCTCTGACAAAGGCCATCACACTAGAACATCAATTTGGTTTCTCTATCTGTTGATGCTACGTGACCTGCTGAGCATTTCAACATTGGCTGTTTTTGATTTCCTCTAGAGTCCTTTCCAGGCAAATGACTCCAACTAAATATCACCACCCAGAGAGCCTCACTAGAAGGTAATGATGGATCAACTTGGAATGAGCTCTTAAGCAACCAAGCTTCATATAAAAAGGGTAACTTATATATCCACATATTAATACTTTCAACTTGTAAAGACATTATACATGTTGATCAAATATCAGTCAGCTTCTCCAATTATTTAATCACCACCTTACCCTGACACAAGTTTCTCACACCTATCACAAAAACAGAGAGGATGGCACATCTTTTGAACACTGTCCTCGTCAGCTTCACCTTGACTTAACAATGCTTCCACTTCTGCCTGATTACCAGCTGCAATATGCTGCAAACACAAAAATAAAAACTTTGTTAAGAGTATGGAAAGAGGCAGGAAATCTTCCTTTTATTCTCATTGTTTGGAGACGGGAAAAGCAATGTAATGCAGAGACCTCTGGTGAAAGAAAAAAGCCAGCCATCCTGTTTCCAGACCTCCATTCGTTTGTGATCAAACCCTTCCTTCTCTGGCTTGGCGACTATTGTTTTAGATGAATTTTTGAAGTGCCTTCAGGCATTTTACTAAATTAAAAAAGTGTGTCTTAAAAGTTGCATGCTTGCTACTGCAGTCAGCAAAAGGGTTTAAACTTGTCTTATTCCCTTCAAGGAAATAACTTACCTCAGTTAAAACACTGGAACAGAATGGCAGATTGAAAATAAACATTCATTGCGTGAAAAACAACATCTACCATGAAGTAGTAATACCACAGGAGGAGTCCTTGTTGGCAGCTACAAATGAAAAAACTTACAACCAAAGACTGGCTGGTGAAAGAAAAATGAAGTTCCTTTAAAGAAGGGTGATCATGTGAAGGCAAGGTAAAATCCTGAGATGGAAAAGTAGGGCAAACAAAGCCAGAGCTCCACGGATAGAGAAAATGGCGTAGAACACAAAGCGAAGAAAGGATACATATTGAAATTGTCAGATTGATAATACATGTGAGAACCATACAGAAAAAGATAAAATACAGCAAGTGGAAGAATAAATAAAAATCGATGACTTTGATGTTCAGAGAAAGTTCTGATTTAATTAATTTGAGTTTTTTGATGAGGTAGCAGAGAAGGTTGATAAGAGTGATGTAGTTGATGTGTGAATGTCTTTCTAAATAAATATTTCTTAATGAAGTGTCACTTAAAAGACTTATTAGCAAACCCCATGCAACAAAAGGGACAGCTGACTGCATGGATACATAGTCGAGTGACAGGAAAGCAGTGCTCCAGAGATTGGTATCAACACTATTGCAGTACTTCGGTGTGCAGGCCACCATTTCAAGTATTTTGAAGCTAGGGGAGTATAGTGATAAAAATCATGAGGACAGAGGTAGGCTGGTGGGATGGAGAGACACATGGCAAGTGAAATTTAATCCAAAGATGAACAAGGCACATGGAGACAATTTCAAAGGGGTGCATGAACAAAAGGATACATGTGAAAAAAAAAACAAAAAAAAAAATGCAGGACAGATTGCAAAAAGCAGTTAATTAGGTATATGGAATCCTAAACTTTACAAACAAAAGTATTAGAGAGTGTGCAGAAAAAAAAATTACAATTAACAGTGCAAATAGTTGTACATGGGTGTATATTAGGATTATGCTAGGTCAGCAGGTTGACCAGGCTGGGAACTGAACATTTGGGAAGCACAAGGAAACAGGAAGAGGGCTGGGGAGGTAGCATTGTTAGTAAAGGATGATATCAGTACAATAGCGAGAAAGGATACTGGCTTGGAAAACCTATATGTGGAATCAGTCCGGGTGGAACTAAGAAGCAACAAAGAGCAGAAAACATTAACAGGTACTGTCTTTCAGTCTCCAAACAGCGTGGGACAGTATAAACAGGAAATTAGAGATGCATGTAACAAGAGTGCCAGGGCGATCATGGGTGATTTCAACCTACATATAGACTGGGCAAAAACACGTGCAGTAATGCAATACTAAATGAATTCCTACAGTATGAATAAGTTGGTTTTTAGGCCAGAACATTGGAAGAAACAACTAGGGAACAGACTATCCTAGATTTAGCTTTGTGCACTGAGAAGGGGTTAATTAATAATCTTGTTGAGAGAGATTCTCCAGGAAAAAAAAAGTGACTGCAATGTGACATTTTTCATTTGGATAGAAAGCAAACTGGTCTAATCTGAAGTTAGGTCTAAAATCTAAACAAAGGTATGAGCAGCAAGTTGGCTACGATAGATTGGATGACTTCGTTACAAAGCATGACAGTGATAAGCGATAACTAACATTTAATATTAAAAAGGAGAAAATGCATGCATTACAACAATTATACACTTCTTACTGGTGCAGAAATACGGAAGGAAGATTGGAAGTAATTTATAATCAGCAAATGAGGAAGTGATTGATTAAGAGGGGAGAAAAAGAGAGTAGGAGAGTAAACTTGCGAAGGACAATAAAAGTAGACTGTAAGAGCTTCTATTAAGTCAGTAAAAATGAAATGATTAGTGAATGTCAGTCCTTTACAGTATGAAATGGGATAGTCGATAATGGAGAACAAGGAAATGTCAGAACAATTGAACGATTATATTAATTCTGTCTTCACAGAAGAAATAATTTCCCAGAAATCCTACGGAAGCAAGCATCTATTGTGAAGGAGGAAAAGAAAGAAATTAGTTTCAGTTTAAAAAAAAAATGCTGGAGAAATTAATTGACCTAAAAGCTGATAGATCATATCCCAGGACACTAAAAAGGAGGCAGTTATGGAGTTTATGGATATATTTGGCTGCCATCTTCCAAATTCTGTAGATTCTGGAACAGTCACGATAGATTACAAGTTGGAAATGTGACTCCAAAAATAAGAGAAAGAAAATAGAGAATTACAGACTGGTTAGCCTAACATCAGTCATTGGTAAAATGCTACAGTCTATGCTAAGAGATACAATAACAGTACACTTAGAAAATAACAGCAAGATCAGATCAAGTTAACATGGCTTTCACAAAGGATAAATAGTTTGACAAACCTGGAGTTTATAAGGATGTATCTAGGAGAATAGATGAGGGAGAAACAGTGGATGAGGTGTATTTGGATTTTCAGAAAGCTTTTGAGAAAGTTCCACAGAAGATGTTATTACACAAAATTAAAGAACGTGGGATTGATGGCAATATACTGGCATGGATTGAAAGCTAATTAGCAGATAGGAAACAGAGAGCAGGTACAAATGGGTTATTTCAGAGTAGAAGGCAGTGACAAGTGGGGTACTTCAACGCTTTGAGCCCAGCTTTTCACAATACAGTAACCTCCTCAGTATCCAGCATGTCCAGGGAATAGGAGGGTGCGGGTTGCATAAGAAATACTGCTGAGAGAAGTCAATCATTGCTGACGCAAGATGAATGCCTGTTTGAGAAATGAGTGGCCAGGACTGCTTGTAAATGCTGCTATCCTGGCTGCAATAGGTGATTTTTTTAAAAAAATCAACAATGTAAGTATTGAACTAGTTTTAATAAGCACCCAATCGACTATTTCTTCCAATAGCTAATACCACTTAAGTCTCCTTTCTCCAGATCCCAATTATACAGAATTTCCCTTTTGAATCTCGGATGCCGGTTTCATGTGAATTCCAGATGTTTGGGATCGGATAACAGAGAAGATATTATGTACATATCAATGATCTGGATGAGGAAATTAAATACATTATTTACAAGTTTGCTGATGACATAAAATAGAAAGAATTAAGAGTGGTGAGGAGGAAGTAGAGAGAGAGATCAGGTCAATTTAAATAATTTAGACAAGTTGAGTGAGCGCGTAGACATGTAGCAGATGCATTACATGTTGTTAAGTTGTCTACTTTGGTAAGACTTCAAGTACCAAGTATGCTGCAGACAAAGCAATGTATTTTAATCACAAAAGATTCACTTTGAATGAGAACTTTCCACCAATGTTTTATAAAAACATTACCTGTGCAAAAATGTTTTGTGCTGCTATCATGCAGTTAATATTTTTCATATTAACTATGCACAATCACTAAGCAGCTATAACAGAATTGCAGTCCAAAACATATTAAAATAAGTTACTAGATGACATGCATCGAGTAATTACAAAACAATTAATTCAGATTTACCTCAAACAAGAAATCAATTGGAGTTGCAGACAAATGAGACAGCAAATTCATCCTCTCTCTAAAAAATACTTTGTCATTTAGGTCTCCCGATCCCTAAAAATTAAAAGGATGATTTTATAACAAGATAATTTGTATTTCAATATATACGAATTACAAAACATAAAATGTAATTTTATCAAATGTTGGGCATAGTGTGTGCAACTTAAAAATTGAACAGACATCAAGCACTCAACAGAAGAAGTCTCATATCTGATGAAAATATCAAAATTTCTCTAAATATTCAAATCACATGGAGCATTAAGGAAAGGTTAGCTTTACAACTGGTTATTAGGTTAACATATCCTACTGCTCAGTCATATTTATTCTGCATATTGACCTGTTTCACAGTCCTTGTTAAAGTGAGTGTTCACCTACGACCTCCAAAAAAAAACACAAGCTACCTACAAAGAGACCCAGTGACCTCGAGCATGGTTTTCACCCTTCTGGGTGCTAGTTTAATTCTGGGGATCTATAGAGGATTTCCAGATATCCGGTAACAGTGATCAAGTTTGGTAAGTGGCCAAATTCACTGAATAAATGCAACGATTTACTCCTTGGTTCGCTGATTGAGATTTTTTTAATTTTACTTCCTGTGTAGGTTTAGAAAGACAGCAAGATACACATGGGAATATGGCAGAAGTTAAAATACTAATCATTAGCAAAACCTATGGAATTGTCACTTTCACAATTATATAATTCGTTTTACTGGCCCAGAGTGGTACTTCAGTGATGTCTATAACTTAGCACATTAATAAAAACTCAAAATGCGCATTGATCAACAGGGCACATCTTTTTTATGGAACATTTCAGCTTAAATGCAGGAATTCAAGGGACTCTAAAGATTTGTTTTTGCAGAGGATACTATAGCACATCCAAGGAATTAACTTCTGGTTCAGTGCTTAACTGAGCATACGCGTGCAGAAGTTACTGCCTGCTTCAGTTTTGAAGAAGTTGAACTCTTAACACATGGGTATAGGCCCAAACAGCTCAAATATTTCTACCTTTATCTTAACGGTATCCTGTAACTCCAACCCACTGGTCTGTTACCATCTCCCAACAAAATTTCACGTGTATGTAAATCTAACCATCCGTCATCACAACACCAAGTTCCAATGCTTCAACACACTCCAGTAATATTGTATACGTACACCACTCCTCTATTCTTCCCCGTATGTAGCTTCCTAATGATGATTCCAAAAGCCAAATTTCCAACTCCGCCCTTCTAGATACACTCTAATGTGTAAACTTTTCAGATATTCAATCAACCCTCTCTCTATCTGTACTCATTTGTAGATCTTAAAATCCAATTCCAGTCCTAATTATGCTTGGCATTTTTTTGACAACTATCTACTTGAGGTTAGCATTTACAGTTTCCATGCAAAAATGCACAATCATAAATTTGAGCCCGAAAACTAAATAGTAAATGCGGTAAGATTGAATTAGTTAAATCCAATTGCATCATTTATTTTAACTGTCTCCCTGACTGAAACAGAAAAGCACTTAATAAAAAGCATTGCAAAATATCTCAAAAAAAAATACAAATGGTTCTTACAGGTTGACCAAGAGTCAAGTTGCCCTGATGAATATACTCTACTGCAGCTTCGAAAGAAGTTAGACAATACCCCAGTTCATCCTTGACTGCACTGCAAAACCTAAAATTCTTGATATAACTGAGATTGGCCATCCTGTAATAAGAAAATTGTTCACTATTAAAATAGTGAAATAAAACCTCTCATACATGATATCAAATATCTGTTTCACCAGATACAACTGGTGAGAATAGTTCTAAAACAATTTCATATTTTCATCTCTTATAAATGAGAATACTATCACAGCAAGAGCACAGCCAAACAGCCAGAAACATTCAATACCAACAGATGAGAAAAGAGAAGGATTTATATTTAACCTTCCGTTTTCTAAAGTTTTCATAACCACTGAATTACTTTTAAAGAAGTGGTCAATTGCTAGTTAGCAGGCACAAATCAGCACCCAAGATCCGAAACACAAAATAAAAAGAGACGCATGATCACTTTGGTTTAGGCAAGAACCCAGTAGGTTTGTGGCATTGTTTTCCTGAAGGACACAAATGATTGAAAGGAGGCCCAGTCCAAATCCATCTGAAAGACACTGCTTCAGATAATACAAAACTCCTTTTCACAGTATAAGTGTTAACTTTCGATTATGTGAATTCTTAAACCTGACTCAGAACTTAGTTACTGCTGAGCCAACGACAGCAATTGCTGGAGAAGCTCAGCAGGTGTGGAGGCATCTGTACAGAAAAATCAGAGTTAATGTTTCGGGTCCATCAATCCTTCCTCAGAACTGATGTTGGTTGGGAAAAGTTGGTTTTCATGCAGCAGATAGGTTGGGGGGTGGATAAGGTGTAAATGCTAGGTGGAGATGGAGACCAAAGACAGAAGGACAGACAAAGGAGTGGATAACCACCAGCCTAGGAGAATGAATAACTGCTAATGGGGAAAATTAGTGGCTAACAATGGGTTGTGTATAATAGTAGACCATGTGGTAACAAGGCCTCATGTGTCAGGATTAGGGTAAGGACATGGGAGAGCTCAGGCCCTAAAATTGTTGAACTCAATATCTAGTGCAGAAGGCTGTAGAGTTCCCATATCAAAAATGAGGTGCCATTCTTCCAGCTTGCACTGAGCTTTGCCAGAGCACTGCAGCAAGTCTGGGACAGAGATGGTGGCGTGTTGAAATGGCAGGCAGTAGGAAGCTCAAAGTCTTTTTGCAGACACAACATAGGTGTTCTGTAAAGTGGTCACCCAGTCTATGCTTCGTTTCTCCAAAATACAGGGGACCACATTGTGAGCAGTGAATGCAGCAGACTAGATATCTGAAGTGCAGGTAAAGTGCTGCTTCTTCACCTGGAAGGTGTGTTTGGGCCCTTGGATACGGATGAGGGAGGAAGTAAACAAACAGGTGTTACACCTCCTCCAGTTGTGGAGGAAATGTGCCATGGGGTGGGGGAGGTGGGGATGCTGGTGGTGGTTGGTGGTGTTGAGAGTGAAGGGTGGACCAGGGTGTCACAGAAAGAACAGTCCTTGCAGAAGGCTAACAAGGGAGGAGAGTGGAATGTGTCCAGTGGTGGCATCCCACTGGAAGTGGCGGAAAATGGCAGTTAGCGATCCTCTGGATATAAATGCTGCTACAATGGTACATGAGGACAGGGAGACCCTATCACTGTTGTGGGAGGGAACAGACAGGTGAGATGGGTCAGACTTGGATGATGGCCCTGTTGGCAATGCTGCTGAGGAATCCTCGGTTGAGGAAGAAGGTGGACATTTTGGAGGCTCCCTTGTTGAAGCTGGCATCATCAGAACTGATGCAACACAGACAGAGGAACTGGGAGAATAGAACAGAATCTTTGCAGCAAGCAGGGTGTGAGATGCATAGTTAAGGTAACTGTGGGAATTGGTTGGTTTGGAGCGTATATTGGCAGCCAACCTATCGCCAGAGACGGAAATAGAGATATTGAGAAAGGGAAGGCAGAAGTCAGAGATGGACGAGGTGTAGGTGACAGCAGGGTGAATTGGAAGCAAAATTGATAAACGTTTCCAATCCCGGACAAGAGAGGGAAGCCGCACCAATGATATCATCGATATGCCAGAGTAAGGATTGTGGGTGGAGGCTGGAATTGAATTTGAATGAGGAATATTCCACCTACCCCACAGAGACAGGCATAAATGGGGCCCATGTGGGTACCTATGGCCACCCCTTGACCTGAAGAAAGTGAGAGGAGTTAAAAGAGAAGTTGTTCTGAGACAGGACATGCTCGGCCAGATGGAAGAGGGTGGTAGTGGATAGAGATAGTTCAGGCCTTTGTTCCATTAGGAAGCCAAGAGCTCATCCTGATGGGGGATGGACTTGAAAAGGAATTGTACGTCCATTGTAAAGAGGTGGTGGTTGGAGCCTGCAAACGGGAAATAAATTGGTAATTAACTACTTTCTCTGGATATTTTAATTTGCTTGAACTAGAAATCATCGAGTCCAAATATGCAAGAAATGTCTTGGATCAGAGATGCAAAACAAAAAGTACCTTACTAAATTGAATATATTTTTCTAGAAAATAAGAATTTAAGTATAAGTATGTTAGCAAAAATTTATCAAATATGCAATGTTCTATTCCTCAAACTTGTTAATACTGACAGGACACTATTTTAGTTTAAATATACAAAACCTACCAGTTAGGAATTTCAGTTTTGACCAGTAGATAAAGCAGAACAGGCAGCAGATCATCAGCAGACATAGAATGCAAATTAACTAAAATAAAATCAAATAACAATTTTTTTGGTAAACATGGCACAATTATCTCAATAAATATACACAATCTTCAGACAGTCTTAGTAAACTCTCCGTATTTTTAAGTTCCTACCATAGTAATGGCATATGTAGCTGTTTATCACTTGTCTTGTCCGACATTGCAAAAGTCTGAGGAAATTATGGTTTGATGTAATTAATGACAGTCCATCTCACTTTAAGTTCCTTGACCTTTGTGCTATTGTTTCCTTGGTCAGCAAGTTATTGTTGTAGCTTTGCAGCAACCACCTCCAAGAATTAAATTCAATAGCATTTGTGAATTTGCTGAACTTATTCCTACTGTACTGTGATTGCCATTTAAACAAAACCTCGATTATTTTAATAAGCTTCTCCTAATTATATTGACAATAATAAACTCTATTATTGACATTTGAAAATGTCACCATAAATCAGCTTCAACCAAACATCCACACGACTTTGTAAATCAAACCTTCTTTGGCTATTATTGTCTTGAAGAATAAACCTTAAAGTTATAGTAATAATTTTGAAATGATGGATGTTGATATGCTTTCTCCAATATTAATAGTTCTTCCATTGGTGGTAAAAGCACAAATATACTAATACAGTACTTACTGGCATTCCTATATCATCAATTTTAAAACATCCCCAGCCAACTTGACTCGAACTACGTGCATCTCATTTACAGATTTAATTATTCATTGTTTTTAACTCAACCAACAGTAATGTATCAAGTAAGATGGATGTGTTGTCAAATGGGGTACTGGTTCTGATGTTGTATTGCTCAGATTACAGCAAACTATAAAACACAAATTTATACATTATTTGTGATAAATGTGCAGTTTATCACATTATAAGGGTTGATTTTATCATGGGTGTACTTTTATATTAAACAAAATGCTTCACATAAAACACCAAATTAGTCCTTCTGCATCTTAAGATGACCCATCTATAGGCTGTGTAAACATAAATGTTTATTTGTCAATACTTTTGTATTGAATAGAAGTGGAATTAAATGAAATTGTATATGTTTTTTAAGTGACACAAGTACAGAAAAACGTCTCAATGTGCTGTTCCTGCAACCGTCAGGTGGCATCGCTGTGGCACTGCAGGAGGCCCAGGATGGACATGTCGTCTGAGGAATGGGAGGGGGAGTTGAAATGGTTCGCGACTAGGAGGTGCAGTTGTTTAGTGCGAACCAAGCATAGGTGTTCTGCAAAGCAGTCCCCAAGCCTCCGCTTGGTTTCCGCGATGTAGAAGAGGCCACAACGGGAACAGCGGATACAGTATACCACATTAGCAGATGTGCAGGTGAACATCTGCTTGATGTGGAAAGTCTTCTTGGGGCCTGGGATGGGGGAGGTGTAGGGGCAGGTGTAGCACTTCCTGCGGTTGCAGGGAAAAGTGTCGGGTGTGGTGGGGCTGCAGGGGAGTGTGGAGCGGGGAGCAGACAAGGCAGTCACGGAGAGAGCGGTCCCTCCGGAAAGCAAGCAAGGGTGGGGAGGGAAAAATGTCTTTGGTGGTGGGGTCGGATTGCAGATGGCGGAAGTGTCGGAGGATGATGCGTTGGATCCGGAGGTTGGGGGGGTGGTACGTGAGGACAAGGGGGATTCTGTTTTGGTTGTTATTCCGGGGAGGGGGTGGGAGGGATGGGTTGGGGGGAGTGGCGGGAGACACGGTCGAGGGCGTTCTCGACCACTGAGGTGGGGGGAGAAGTTGCGGTCCTTGAAAAACGAGGACATCTGAGATGTACAGGAGTGGAATGCCTCATCCTGGGAACAGATGCTGCGGAGGCGAAGGAATTGGGAATGGGGGATGGCATTTTTTGCAGGAAGGTGGGTGGGAGGAGGTGTATTCTGGGTAGCTGTGGGAGTCGGTGGGCTTGAAATGGATATCGGTTTCTAGGTGGTTGCCAGAGATGGAAACAGAGGGGTCCAGGAAGAGGAGAGAGAGGTATTAGAGATGGTCCAGGTGAACTTAAGGTTGGGGTGGAAGGTGTTGGTGAAGTGGATGAACTGTTCGAGCTCCTCATGGGAGCACGAGGTGGCGCCGATACATTCAGCAATATAACGGAGGAAGAGGTGGGTTTAGGGCCAGCGTAGCTATGGAAGAGGGATTGTTCCACGTAACCTACAAAGAGGCAGGCATAGCTTGGGCCTATGCGGGTACCCATGGCCACCCCCTTTGTCTGTAGTGCTATTTTGTTGACTAAACGCAGATCTCGGTTCTCCCTTTGTCTTTGGAATACGTCACACTCAAAATGCTTCATTTATTAAAACTGGAGAAACAGCTAACATGTAAAATAGATGCAGCCCCTGACTCTAAAGAATACTTGGTGGGCACCCATGGCTGTCATCTCCTATTAGCTACAAATCAATGGCTGTGCCACTGATTTATTAGAGCATATTCTAAATCAGTTTTCCAACAAATCGAGGCGTAAACGTGTCATTGGAGGATCAAGACATCTAATCTAATTTATGGCATTCATCACCAATATTATTGTTGCAGGAAATTCAGGGGTCCTTGTGCCTCAAACTTCAAATCCATTGAAAAGGGTCAGAAACTGTCTGACATGTCCTTGTCCTTCAGTTTCTCCATTGTAAGTGGCCTTTGGGATTACACCATTGTTGCTTTCTAGAGCTTCAGACAGATCTTGTCTAACACAAGGTCATGGTCCAATCCTCCATCAACAGCTTTAGAAGTCCAAACACTTGGAGAATATTCTCTATCAACTAATATATGTAAATAGTTAGTCTTGTTCAGTGTGTTACTATCTATCCGTAGACTTCTGTCCTTTGTGGGTGTTTGTGTGATTAAAGACACTCAATGCTGGGCCCTTTGCAATTGCAGAAAGCTGCGAGATGCTCAATTGTTCCACAGAACATGTTTGCTCTTCCCTCCACACTCCGGGGTTTTGTCCCCACCCCACGTCCTCACTCGCCACTACTGAACCCCATTCCAAACGTGCATGCTTCATTGTGCTTGCACAGCGTGTATTTGCATACGACATCACATGTAAATTCTACATGATGTGTTGTGCTTGAAGTTGTGCAGGTGCGTGTTCCTGAATTAGCAACCATGCGTCTTTGCTACAGTTGTGGGTGTCAGCAAACACTGCCTATTTGTTTCAATAAGATCACCCGTTATTCTTCTAAATGCCAATGGATACAGACCCACCCACCTGTCCAAACTTTCATCTAAGGTAGTCCCACACCCCCATTACAGGAATCAGTTGCATGAAGCATGTTTGAATGGCTTTAAATGCAATTACGTTCTTTATTAAGTAAGGAGACCAAAAGTTTAAATGGTACTTGAAACATGGTCTAATTAATACCCTACGTAACTGCAGCTAAAGATCTACATATACTCCACTCCTTCTGCAGCAAATTTATCATTCCATTTATCTTCCTCATTCCACCAGTGTACTAACCTTGTGATTTACATCCCAGGATATCCAGAATCCTCATAGCCTCAAAGTTCTGCAATCTCTCTCCGTTTCAGTAATTCATACTTTTCTATTCTTCTTGCCAGGGTGGACAAATTCACTTTCCCACATTACACTCCATCTACCAGTTTTTTGTTCAATCACTTAAAACAATGTATATTCCTCATGTTCTCTTCATTGCTTACTTCCTGATCTTTGTCTCATTAGCAAAATTTTGCAATTATGCATTGGGTCCTTCATTCAAGTCATTGATAGACTGTATATAGCCGAGGCCCCATCATTGCCACTAACATGAATGTACCAGTTATGGCTCATCAACCCAGTAATGACCTGTTTATTCCCATTCTCTGCTACCTGTTAGTTAAGCAATCTGGTTTATAAACCAATCCGCCCCTCTGGAGCACTTGGGACTTGAACCCACCCCTCTTGACTCATGGGTAGGAACATGACCACTATGCTGCAAGAATCCTCTTAGTTAAGCAATCATTTATTATGCTAATATGCATCACTGTACCAATGAGCGCTATTTTGTGAAGCAAACTTTAACGCGGCACTTTATCGATTATCTTTTGGAAATCCGAGTACACCTCAGATACAGGCTCCCTTTTATCCACAGTGCTTGTTACTTCCTCAAAAAGAAAAGAACTAATAAATTAGTCAGTCACAATTTTCCTTTTACAAAGCCATGTTGACTTTGCCTAATTTCATTGAGGTTTTCTAAGTTCCCTGTTATAACATCCTTAATATTAGATTACAGCAATTTTTGCTATGACACATGTTAAGCTAACACATCTTTCTGTCTCGCTCCCATCTTGAACAGAGAAGTTAAATTTGCTATTTTCCAATCACGTCGGCTATTTTCAGAATATAGGAATTTTGGAAAATTACAACTAATGCATCTACTCTTTCAGCATCCATTTCTTTGAGCAATTTAGGATGAAGTCCATGAGAGCCAGGAGAGTTGTCAGCTTTTATTTCAATAGCTTTCTCAGTACCCTTTTTCAGGTGATTATAATTTCCTCCTTCCCATTTACCTCTGATATGCAATCATTTCTGGAAGGTTGCTGTATCCTCAGTGAAGAGGAGATGTAAAAATCTGTAAAATTCATTTGCCACTTCTTTATGTTCCACTGTTAAACCCCAGACACACACTCTCTCAAAAGACCAACACTCACTTTGCTTTCTCTTTCCCTTTTTAAATACCTGTCAAAAATTCTCACTATCTTCTGTTGAAGTTCTAAATAGCTTTCTTTCATACTGTCATTTCTGCTTCTTCGTTATTCTCTTAGTCATACTTGTCTTTTGTCTAATCTTTTGACCTGCCACTACCTTTGTTGTGGAATTATACACATTTTCTTTCAATCTGATCCCAGCTTTAAATTCCTTAGTTACCCTCAGACGATGCTTGCTTCCCACTGGAATGCGTCTTTGCTGAGTGTTATGAAGCAAAAAAAAAAGTGTATGCCACTGCACCTTAACCTAATTTTCCAATTCATTTCAGCAGTCTCTGGTTTCATACTCAATTACCCTTATTCACGTTTAAAACACCACTCTTAGACTTTCTTCTCTCCCTCAAACCAAAAATAAAAATTATGTTATGAACAGCGCTTCATTACTAGTTCACTAATTAATCCTAGTGTCATGCCCCACTTGGAAAAGTTTTCTGATACTCAAGGGTCATCACAAAAGTTAAAGATTTTATCAAATTACTCAAAGTAAACTTTCCTGACAAACTCAGGTTAACAGAAAAGAAAAACAGTCCAGGTTTCTGTACTGAACCAGAAATGACTATTTGTAACAAATAAATCAGTTCTAATCAATGGTAATAAAAGATGAATTATTAGTTTAAAACTATAACTTGAACTGTATTGTTTCCTAAACCCCTACACATGCAAACAAATGAATGGAGAAACATATTAGGCAGAACACAATTCAATAGCACTAGTCCACAGATTCAAAGGAGGTATCCTTTTGCTTCTTCACTACAGATAGTGCAAATGTAACACTACTTGTTCAGGCTGTCAGTCATTGGTTAGCAGCCACAGCTTACAGGCCAATAGGATCAAGAACAGCAAGCTATCTTCCAAGTCTTTTCACTTCTCTGTCAGGAGGGAGTGATACCATCTTTTTAGAACCTGGAGTTTTCTATCCCTGTATTGTTCACAAACCAAGCTGTACGCCTCCCCAGGAGCCAATTAGAAGTTGTCATGCTGAGTATTCTAACCCACAACTGATCTTGATAGTCTGTTAATTGGAAAAGCAAAGCAATCTTTGAGCAAAACTGCTCTGAAAACACTCATGGTACTGATGAGTTCAGCAATCCCCCACCCCCTCAGCAAAGCAACATTATGACTTTGTAAACGCAATGATTTCTAATAACTTGTTTAAAACTGCAAAATCTCTTTCCAGAGTTTCTTTGCTTTAAAACAGTAAGTATCCTTTCCAATTTTTGTCACAATCTAGAAATGAACAAAAATATATACTTTTACACTATCTCACTGCACATTACCAGATCTAAAAATCACATGCCCTCTTGTTGGCTCTAGAAAAAGTGTTTTCGGAACAGTTTTTGGAGCAGTACAATGAACTGAACTCCAGGTTACCTATACCAATCTGATTCGTCCAACTTAAAGAACTTAACAAGATTAAAGTCACCCATATTTGTTTCAGCACCTTTCTAACAAGCCTGTATTATTTTTTCCCCACATACCCATCCTACAGTGTGATTACTGTAAAGGAACCTATAAACTAGTCCAGCAAGTGACATTCTACCTTTTATGATTTATCTCGACACTAATTATATATCTTGATCTTTAGAACCAAGTTCATTTCTCTATTATACTATGTTATGAGTTATTCCTTCACCTTTTCAAAAAGTTTCCCATCTTTCCAAAATATCAAGTATCCTTCAATATTCAGGTCCCACCCTTGGTGATCTCGCAGCCATGTCTCACTAACAGACATCACATATTGTTGTTTCTACTTGACCAGTCAATGCATCAATTTTGTTTTGAGTGCCATGCATGTTCAGATACAAAGTCTTTAGTCCTGTCTTCATATTTTTTTAAAACATATCTAGCCTTACCTGCTGGTACACACTTTGTTTGTACGTTCTGTTTCTTCCAGTTATGCTCTGATTCTCATCTTCCTTGCTTTCCATCCTGCATTCTTAACTCTCTGCATAAATTACCTCACCCCCAACCAATTAGTTTAAAATCCACTCTACCACCCTAGTTGTACAACTCAAAGCTCAGATCCAATCATATTTCCAGGAAATATCACCACAAAAAGGTACAGCTCCTAATTTCTCCAGTACTAGCGCAAATGCCATATGAATTAAAATCTATTTCTCCCATACTATTCCTTCAGCCACATGGTTAACTCAAACCCTGTTTATCTTACTTCTTTATGCTTATAACTCAGGTGAGAATCCAGAGAGGCTCTTTTTAAATTTAGCATCAAGCTGCTCGTGGTGTCTAAACTGAATTTCTTTCATAGGCCTACCTTGGTCATTGGTATTTATGTGGACTATGACTAATGAATTCTCACCCTCTCAAATTTCTAACCAGCACAGGGCAGATGTCCTAAATCCTAGCACTGTGAAGGCAACATGACCTCCCTCTTGGGTGTGGAAAACTGTGTCAATCCCTCTGACTATACTTTGCCCAATTACCACCATATTCAACTCCCAACCTGCTGCAGTTAAAAGGGCCTCCTGTGGCAGCCTCCCAGCAAGGCGTGATGTCCTCCTAGTGTGGTGCAGAGGCCTCCTGGCGTGGCGTGGTATGGCATGGCAACCCCCGCCCTCTCAGGGGCCTCCTGGCATGGCGTGGCAACCCCCCGGCCTCTCAGTGTCCTCCCAACGTGGCATGTCACCGGCGCAGTGTGGAGCCAGGGCCCGATGCGGACTGGAAGCTAAATGCCAGAACTCTCTTCTGTAATGCTGGATATTTCATTTCTGTATTGTTTAAAATCTTGTGACAAAGCAGCTGTGCCTAGGTTCTTTTGTATCTAAGTCAGGACTGTAACTGGTGACGTATTAACTTTTCACTGTACTCGATGAGTATATGTGACATTTAAGGCTATTCTGTTCTATTCTTATTTATTCTCCACAGTGAAATGGTTTTCTGTATCACAGTGGCCCAGTCAGTTTGCTCATCTATCCTACACCCCCACTTCTGTTCATATAGCCTCGAAGAATCGCAAACTTGCTGGACAATGCCAAGGGCCAGGTTTCTCACTTCAATCTTCTAGATCTCCTTAACTGCCTCACTTGCAGTCACACATTCCTACCTTCGACCAAATTAGCCAACCATGGGTCAGCCTCCTGGAACAAGTGTCCAGATAATTCTACCCCCTTACTGATACATTAGTGGCTGTGGTTCAGTCTCCAGCTCAATTAATCTGATCAAAGTTCTGTGAGCTGCATGTGTATTAATCATGGATCACACTGGCATCCATCAGCTCTCTTATTCTGCAGTGACAACACACCCTGCTGTATTGATTGTGCTAATTCATTCATTTTTCTTAATTTACAGTAAATAAACAACAATATGCTTTACTCCTGCAAGTAAACATTACATTCAGCAATAAATGGAGTTATGAAAGACAAACGAGTAAAACATTCACCAAATTAAGAATCACTGAGTTGTTTCCCTGTGACTTAGTTTTTCTCAGTGTACAGACTGAGGTGCTGCTCCTGCCCCAAACTATTCTTAAAAACCGGCCAATCTTTCTGGTACTGCATGGAAAGACAGCATCACCGATGAGCAGTGCTGCAGTGAACAGATCAGCAGCACCTGCAGGACGTTGTGATGGAGAAATGACTAATCTCATTCATCACCCAGGCGTATATCCTTCCAGAGGGGAATACGGCGGATACCACCAAGCAGAAGAAGGGAACTGAACCAGCCAACGATGATGTTACTAAGAAAATTTAAGGGTGGATGTCCAGGAGAATGGGCAGCATAGTGGCTCAGTGGTTAGCACTGCTGCCTTACAGCACCAGGGATCTGGGTTCTATTCCCTCCTCGGGCAACTGTGTGTGGAGTTTGCACATTCTCCCAGTGTCTGCATGGGTTTCCTCCCACAGTCCAAAAGGAATGCAGGCTAGTGGATTGGCCATGAAAAATGCAGGTTTATGGATAGCTTGGTTGGTGGTGGGTTGGGGTGGTGGGGCTGCACCTGGATGGGATGGTCTTTGGAGGGTCAGAATGGACTTGATGGGCCAAATGGCCTGTTACCACACTCTAGGGATTCTATGACGTCACCTGGCGGAGGTGAGACAGACTAATTGACCAGGGCTGGTGGAGCAGTCATGCTGTTTATTGTCCCTCATAGGACCAGAGAAACGACATCTAACTGTGCCTCATACATTATTAAGTACTGTTACACAGATTGTAATGTCATAATAGATTATCCAAAGGTGCACAGAAAAATATATAAAGCAAAGCTTTAACATCACTTTTTCTCAAGTACTGACCTCGTTGGCTTGGTGATTGCATGATCGCATGGATCACATTTCGTAAGCAGATCAGTTTAAGCTGTGGGCTAGTACACTGGTTCAGCTGACTCAACTCCCGTTTGGCACGAGGTATATTAATACTGAAATATGAAAATCATCAGCTTAAAAGTGTTTCTTAACAAAATTGCAACTATATTATTATAATAATTGTGTCAAAACATAGAAGAATAATATTACCAATGATATAAGAGTATGCTTAAAATATTAGACTTCAGTTTTGGTTCACACTAATCGCCTCACTATATTCACTTAACAGGTGATTGTACCATTATGTAACAGGCTCTTGCAAATCTTTGGGCGGTACAGTGGCTCAATGGTTAGCACTGTTGCCTCAGTGCCAGGTACCAGCGTTTGATTCCAGCCTCAGGCGACTGGATGTGTGGAGTTTGCACATTATCCCCATGGCTACATAGGTTTCCTCCAGGTGCTCTAGTTTCCTCCCACAGTCCAAAGGTGGGTAGGTTAGGTGGATTGGCTATGGGAAATTGCCCATAGTGGGCAGGGTTGTGTAGGTTAGATGGAATGGGAAATATAGGGTTTTCAGAATAGGGTAGGCGGTGGGTCTGGTTGGGATGCTGCTCAGGGAGGGGGGTGGGGAGTGGTGTCGGTGTGGACTTGATGGGCCAGTTGGCCTGCTTTCACTGTAGGGAAGCTATGATTCTATGAAATCAAAAACTGAGCAAAGACTGCTTTGTTATTTCAAGCAATTAAAAGCTACCAGCATTTTTACGCAAAGTCA